AGTTGAATGGAAGGGTAGTAATCTGTATGAATTCTTAACAGAAGAGAGTCAAAGACTAAGAATGTGTCAATGGAATGTGTCACCTGCACAGCTGTTGGAAGGTGCTCTTATTCTAATAATGAGTACCCAGTATTTAGACAGAAATCATGTTAATTTTTAAAATGTCAAAGAAAAAAGAAAGGAAACATGCTTTAAGAGTATCTTCCCTTTTGTGAACGAGATCATGTCCTCTGCAGGGACATGGATGGAACTGGAAGCCATTATCCTCAGCAAACTAACGCAGGAGTAGAGAAACAAACACTGCATGCTCTTGCTTATAAGTGGGAGCTGAACAATGAGAACACATGGGCACAGGGAGGGGAACATCACACACTGGGGCCTGTCGGGGGGTGGGGTAAGGGGGAGGGTGAACATTGGGAAAAACAGCTAATGTATGCGGGCTTAATACCTAGATGATGGATTGGAAGGTGCAGCAAACCACCATGGCACACATTTACCTATGTAACAAACCTGCACATCCTGCATATGTACTCCAGAACTTAAAATACAAATTAAAATTAATTTACAAAATTAATTTCTAAAAAATACCTACCCTTTTGCTCAAACTCTATACTTGGGAAGGAAACTGTGTTCCATAATACAATTTTCTGAGTGAATCTATAAACAAGGACGGAATGCCCCCAAATTGAAAAAAAACCAATAATATAAATGATATAAATTATGGCTATTATGCTTTATTATACTTTAATTTTACATGAATTATTTAACTTTATTAATGAATAATGATTTATTCTCCAAGCTATTCACAATCAATCAGCGCCTTTAAACCCAGTCACCTTTAAGTAAACTGACAAAACGAAGGTTTGGAATGTACCATGTGACAACCCCAACCCAGGCAAACTCCTTCTAGAGTGCAGACAGACTGGGAAGCCCGGCCTGGAGCTACTCCGGTGCTTTCCCACATGGCCCTCTATAGTGTGCTGTGTCTTCTGCTTCCAGGGGAGCCATGAGTAGCAGTAAGCTTTTCTCTCAATGGCATTGGCCTCTCAGAATTGTCACTCAGTCACCTTTTGTAAATTAAGACCCAGACACAAATCAGTGTTAAGAGCTATGCAGTGTGTATAACCCTCACATGGGGTCAAAGCAAGAGAAAATGGGCCAGGGGTGTTGTGAGAGGAGAGCGTTTCAAGAAAGTCATGCATTAAATTTCTGTGTAGTCAAAGTAGTGAATTAAGTTATTCCTTTAAAAAGGGTTGTTCTTTAATCTTTTTAAAAATTATAATTATATTATTGTGGTTCTATTTCATTTTTGATAAATCACATGCTTTGATTTCTATAACAGTCAAGGTAGTGAGTGAACAAGAATGAAGGATTCAGCTACATTCTTATGCTGTTTTTTTAAAGTCTCTTTTCCTACTGTATGTTAAGGCTTTCTGTATGTTAGAGTCTGGGCTTTCTCTCTTCCCTTGCCTGGGACCATTTTACATCCCAGGAGCTGGCGACTAGGGCCATGACCCCATTAATGTGCAGCCAAAGGGGGATGGTGACATGACTGAAGACCTATCTGACAGATCATTTCCAAAATAGTCATGACCTGACCGATAGGGGAGAATAGTATCAGCAGTGCTCACACTGTGCTAGGGCAAGTCAGTGTACTCATTAGCAAAGTCTGTACGTGACCACACTCACCTCTAAAATTCCAGAGTTACACAATTTCCTGTAAAAAAGAAAGCAGCATGGTTATCTGTCCAATTGGTCATAGTCAGAATGACCTGCTATTTTGTACTTAGAGTCTCCAACTGTCACAAAGTGAAGGACAGTTCTCGATGGTTTCCTAATAATTCTGTTGGCATGGAGTAGAGGTTAAGAGCCAGTTCTCAAGGATCAGCAAAAAATGGAACTAGAAGGTATATACAGGAATAGTGGCAGTAAAGAGAGATTGCATCCTGCCAGACAGAAATAAACAGAGGGGATATTCTCTAAAGAAGGCAGCTTCCTTGACGTTAGCCATCCACAGTCTCAGAATCGTGATTGCCAAATGCAGATAAGATTCACCCAGTCCAGAAATCCTTAAGACGACAAAAAAAAAAAAAAAAGAAAAAAAAAAGAAAATGTGGAAAATGATTAAAACTTCTGTTACATAACTGTACTCAGGTTACTAAGCTGTTAACTTAGACATATACTAGTTGTTTATAACAAAGATTTACCCTGGGATTCTGAGGTAAAAACCTTTTGACAAGCACAGCGAAGAGGACAGGCTGTTTTGCAGTCTAGGTTCCTCTCTTTCTCGCAACGCTGTAAGTTTGCTAGGCTCTTCTGGTGCCCCTCTGCTCCTTCTTGTCTCACCCCAGTCTGTGCTGTTGTGGTGCATTTCTTGAGTGCAGAAAACTCTCAACTGCAACATTATCCAAAGTTCATTTTAAAGTACTATCTCTGGAATCACTGTAATGAAGTTTGCAGTGCAAACTGACTCTGCCAATGGCTGAGCTTAATAGCTCCCAGGGGCTTCTCCCTCCTATTTGTTTTTATTTATTTATTTATTTATTATTTGTTTATTTTTTTTGAGATAAAGTCTTGTTCTGGCGCCCAGGCTAGAGTGCAGTGGCTTGATCTAGGCTCACCACAAGTTCCGCCTTCCGGGTTCACACCATTCTCCTGCCTCAGCCTTCGGAGTAGCTGAGGCTACAGGCGCCCACCACCACGCCCGGCTATGTTCTTTTTCTTTTTTTTTTTTCTTGGTATTTCTAGTAGAGACGGGGTTTCACCGTGTTAGCCAGAATGGTCTCCATCTCCTGATCTGGTGATCTGCCTGCTTCGGCCTCCCAAAGTGCTTGGATTAGAGGCGTGAGCCACCGCGCCCGGCCCCTCTCCCTCCTGTTTAAATAGTCCTAAGGCTCAGAGAATTCTCCCCACTTCCTGTCACATGCCCTTTGATGACAAGAGTAATTACCACAAAACAGAACAGAAATATGGACTGCATGACCTTTTTTGCGTTACACCATTAAATGTTCACAAGGGCACTGGTCACAGTGTTACTGTTTAACCATTTCATTTCACCACCAATATGAGGGGTGTGCTATGCATACATTCTGGAACCTTCAGCAACTATTTGAACAGGTTTGTTTGTTGGATGGTTGGTTGGTACAATTTGCTGAAACAAGTGACTTTGGGCATGGTTACTGTGCTCTGATCAACATCTTTCTATCCACAGGATCGGGGTGGAGTTTGCGCACTGAGTGAAAAATGAAACGCAAATGGCTGGGACAGTTGCTGGTTCATATCGTGGCTTCATGCCAATTAGGAAAAACACTGTCCCCCTTCCCCATGCTCTGGGGAGGATAAACGGCTGAAAGATGCCCCCTGTCTGTGTGAACCATTAGGGGAAAAGCAGCCTCTTGCAAGGCACAGGGTTTGGCCAAGGGCAAACCTTGGCCAGGGGTTGACATCTGGGCAAGATTTTAGTCCCTCGTCAGTCCTCTCAGTGGACATGATGGCACAATTGTTCAAGGCAGTCCTAGAAGGAGGTCTTGGGGCATCCTGGGCAACATGATTCAGTTTTCTGTATCATGCCATTTAGTTAAGGTTATTATCAGCTGGTGAGAGAAGCTCCTCCACCGCCTGCCTTAACATGGGTCATTTCAATTAACCTGAGATTTTCAGATGAGGAAACTGAGGCTGAGCTGAAGTATCTTACTGGAGGTCACGTGGTAGCATCAGATTTTGATCTTTACCCTGCTGTTTTCCCTAGCACTCCTTATTCTCCTTCTCTGATTTATTTTTCTCCATAGCACTTACCACTAATATTGTGTATTTCATTTTCCATTTTCATATTGTCAGTTTCCCCCAAGTAGAATGTAAGTTCCATGATGGTAGGTGTTTTATTCACTGGCTGTATTCCCAATGACTAGAACAGAACTTGGCACACAATGAGGCTCATTCAGTAATATTTTCTAAATGAATGAATTTTTCAAATATCAGGATGCTTTCTTCTATACCAATGTATTTCAACAAGTGGCCTTAGCAAATACACAATATTTTGAGGTATTTGAGAGAAAAAAAAATTATACTAACACAGTGTCAACTGTTATCAGGATTTTCCTCAGCTAAAAAAGCCACTTCATACTTTTAGACATATACTTCCTGACTAAAAGCAGGGTTTTAAGAAAAAGCCTTCCACCTTAAAATTCATGTCCACTTCACAGAGAGAAATCTCAGTCTAATATAATAAACTGGGGTACTTTCTGCTTACTAAGACTAATCTTTGCTTCTGAAGACAGGTTTAGTTATGGTTGGTTTATTTGATGATTAAAATAAAGTTATTAGCCCCTGTTAGGCTCTGCTAGTTATTTGCATATAGCAATACAGAATGATCTGGTAAAGTTTTTATGCAGATGTGGTCCAAGCTCATAAAATAGATACATTCTTCCAAATTAAATTCTTATTTTTGTTTACTTAAATTTGGCATGCTAGATATCATGTTCCATATCATAAAGCTGCAATTAATCACTTGTTAGACTTTTAGAAATAGTCATGAACCACATAATAATGTTTCAGTGTATGACAAACTGCATATGTGATGGTGGTCCCATAAGATTATAATAATGTATTTTTACTGTACCTTTTCTATGTTTATATATGTATAGATACACAAATATAATTGTGTTACAATTGTCTACAGCATTCAGCATAGTTATATACTGTACAGGTTTGTAGCCTAGGAGCAATAGGTTATACCATATAGCCTAGATGTGTAGTAGGCTGTATCATCTAAGTTTGTGTAAGTACATCTATGATAGTCACACAGTGAAAAACGAGCCTAACAATGCATTTCTCAGAACATATCCCTGTCATTAAGAACGACTGTAGTAAAAAGCTACATGCTTTTGATTCATTTTACATAATCCTTATCCTGATTTACTAAAAGTGCACTGTTTGCAGGACTCTGTGCTGTGACACATTGTCAGAGGAACAAAGGGAGCATTTAGACATGTTGTCTGCCCTCCTGGAATTTACACGATGAATGGAAAAAGGCGCAGAGTTATGCACACTCTAATGTCTCCAACAATAACTGTTGACTTTTTATTTTCAGTCAGAGAAGCCTGGCAACCAAGAAGTGGTTTTTTGGTGGTTTACGAGAACTTAACTGAATTGGAAAATATTTGCTTTAATGAAACAATTTACTCTTGTGCAACACTAAATTGTGTCAATCAAGCAAATAAGGAAGAAAGTCTTATTTATAAAATTGCCTGCTCCTGATTTTACTTCATTGCTTCTCAGCCTCCAAGAAGGGGAAAAAATGAAGATTTTGATACTTGGTATTTTTCTGTTTTTATATACTACCCCGGCCTGGGCGAAAGAAAAGCATTATTACATTGGAATTATTGAAACGACTTGGGATTATGCCTCTGACCATGGGGAAAAGAAACTTATTTCTGTTGACACGTAAGTCACTATTTTTATTGTTTATAGACCCAAATTTTAAATTATTTTTAAAGAATAGAGCCAATAAGATGAAATATTTTTAAAATATCTTATATACAGAAACTGTAAAATGTGGGCTTGAAACCCAGGACACTTGAATCAATCTCCCTTATATTCCTGTATATTTTTTATTTGGGGGACTACTCTGCTTCTTTCCTGTTGTTCCTGGGATCTGTGTTCACCTCTTATTACCTCCCATGGTCATTACTCCACCTCTGATTAGGATTCTGTCTTTTTGTCTGTTTATACAGAAGTTCTTTAATTTAAACAATTATTGTATAAAATGTTATGTTTATTACACCATTTAATGGTTATTCATGATAGAGATAAATTTTTTTATATCTTTCAAAACATCACTTATAGAAATAAAATATGATTTTAGCAAATATGATTCTGCCTGATATTTATTGAGAGACTCCAGACAGTTAAGTAGGTTAATCTTTGACAGCGTCAGAGTCCTAATTTGTAAAATGAGGATAATAAGCATAGCTCATAAGGTTATTTAAAGAGTGAGTGCATGTAAAGCTCTTAGTACAATGCTTGGCACATATATGCATAAAAAATGTCAGGCACTTATTAGGATGGTCCTCAAAAAGCTCCATGTAACTTAAATATCTTCATATTTCAGTTGGAAAATCCCCTTATTGAAAGCAATATTCAGTACACAGAAAAACAACAAATGTTTAGTTTTCCTTGAAGTTTTTTGTACAGAAGTTAATCTATACCGAGGTCTTCACTTTTAGTAATGCTAATTAAACATTAACCACCAAATGGGAACTTGGAATTCAAAATCAATATTCACTACATTAAAATGTATTTCAGTGGTAATAAAACACAAACAAGCCTAATGACCATCAGCTGCTAAGATTATATCTTTAAAAAATAACTAAATAAGGATGCCAAAGTTTGTAATTATTGAATGTTATTGATGAGTATATACTATTCTCTTTAATGTTATGTTAAATTTTTATGTTGAATTTTATGTTGAAATTTTTCACCATAAAAATAAATACATAACTGATAATAACATCCAATTATTATATTATGAAGTTAATAATATACAGTAAGGAAAGCTTCTGACCTGAAGATAAGTGGTTGTAAATAAAACTAATACATTTTGTAATTATTTCTTTTTTTAACCTGTTTTTAAGATGGTATTATCTTCTAAAGAATATGACATATTTTTACAGCTTCATCAAAAACATTATTTTGCATGGATTCAGTATTTTCTTGATTAAATATAATATAAATTACACATGATTTTTATTTCCAAGGAAAAAGTCAGACACATTAAAAAAATAAAAATACTATCCTTCTCCATGCCCCCACTCACCACTACTCTGTCATTGTTTATGATCAAAAATCAAATCAGCTTTATCAGGCATAAACTAAATGCAAGACATTGCCCTGACTATGCTTCAATTAAAAAAAAAAAATCTTTCATTCTAAAAATCAGGGAGTAGAAGAGTGAAAGAGTTTATTTAGAATTTGGTGAATGGGGGCAGAGGAAATTCCTTTGTTTTTAATTACTCCCATGGCCTGTCTGTGCCAGGGAAGCTATCCAATGAGTACAAGCTTGTTTACCCCATTGTGACTATATTAGTCTCTTCTTATGCTGCTAATAGAGACATCCTCAAGACTGGGTAATTTATAAAGAAAAAGAGGTTTAATATACTCACAGTTCCACATGACTGAGGATGCCTCACAATCATGGTGGAAGACAAAGGAGGAGCAAAGGCATGTCTTACATTGCAAACTTCCCCACACCTTCCTGTCTTCTGAGCCCTCCAAGTCCTTAGGAAGTTCCAACTTTCCCACATTTTGCTATCTTCTTCTGAGCCCTCCAAACTATTGCAGCCTCTGCCTGCTACCCAATTCCAAAGTCTTATAGGTACCTTTACAGTAGTCCCGCACTCCAGGTACCAATTTATTGCATTAGTCTGTTCTTACACTGCTAATAAAGACACACTCAAGACTGGGTAATTTATAAAGAAAAAGACGCTTAATGGACTCACAGTTCCGCATGGCTGGGAAGGCCTCACAATCATGGCAGAAGGCAAAGGAGGAGCAAAGGCACATCTTATATGGCAGCAGGTAAGAGAGAGCTTGTGCAGGGGAACTCTCATTTATAAAACCATCAGATCTCATGAGACTTATTCACTATCATGAGAACAGTATGGGGGAAACCACATCCATGATTCAATTATCTCCACCTGGCTCCACCCTTGACATGTGGGGATTATTACAATTCAAGTTGAGATTTGGGTGGGGACACAGCCAAACCATATCAGTTACTTAAAAAGTATACTTAATAGCGATACTTTAGGATCCTTAAAAGGAAAAATGGAGCATCTTCTAGTTGCAAAGTCCACCTCTCTTTTTGTCATTGTCCTGTGACTTTAACATCTCCCTTGGCTTCAACAATATGCTACAGTTGTGCAAACTCTAGGTGGGACTGCTTGCTCTGTGATTTTTTCCCCCATATATCTGACCAGTGAATTTTGAATACAACTTCAGCAATTTTGCCAATACTATGCTAAACTTTTTGCATAGATGTGTGCAGATAGCAACCTTTTGGTCCCTTCTTTGTCCCAGATTTGCAGCATGTTTAGCCCAGTCAGTGAAGGATGATGGAGTATCACAAGACATGGTTGGCACTCCTTATTGTGTGATAACTACAAAGGAGTGGAAATAAATGGGCTGAAGAATAAGATGTGAAAGAGTGCAATATAAGTTTTAGGTAAAGAATCGAGTTTAAGCTGAATGTTGATCTTCAAGGTCTTGGATGATGAACAGGAAAATATGCATTGAGATGACAGGAACTAGTGTTTGGTCACTAGTACCTAGAATATAGAAGACACTAAATAAACATTTCTGAATAAGTTTAAGTGAGTAAGTAAAAGATACATAGGAAGATAGGAGAAATCATAAACTGTATTGTAAAAACTTTTCCTTGCTCCTCATGTAGAGAGATTCATGCTATAGAACAAATCAGGCAACAGAATAAAATAGAAAATTCACCTGAGGGGATTATATGCAGGGTTAGTGCAACTGAAAACACTGGCAGATATTAAAAGACAAAAATGTATAGGTTTGGGGGGGACTAAAAAAGTAGAGTTTACTTCTCTGGTATTAATGCCAATGATATTTATTTCTAAAAGGGTGAAGTGGAAAATAATTTCCTTATACTCAATACTGCCATTTACTTGGGTTGGTGCCTTATCTGTCACTTCAATATATCAATAAATATTTAAAGACTTTATAAGATATAATTCTGGATCCTAAGTTATATATATTCAATTAAAAACAAATGACATACATATAAAAACAATTAGTAAACACAGTAGTGTGTTCTGGGCCCATAGTAGGCATTAGTTAATTATTTACTGAATTAATTGACTATATAATAGCAAAAATTATAATAATTCTGATATCTTCAGATTACTTTTTTTTTCTGATGACTTCTAGGAAGCTGGAAATAAGTCAAAAAATTTTTAAGCATAAGAACAGCCATCACAAAACTCTTTTACACTTGACTTCATAGGCTCTCACTCAGGCTTGGCGACTTCCTTAACACAGAGTTCTTACAAACATTATTACCGGGTTTTTCATTCCATTGTAGGTTTCCAAAACAAATAGTAAAGTGAAAATGTCACTATAAGCAGGCCTAATGACCAAGAAGAAATAACAGCTCAAATCCTGACCAAAAAACTAGACAACAAAGAACATTCCACCCTGTAGTAATCATAATACCTATAATATGATCTTGAGTGATCAGGACATAGTAAGTATTCAATAAGTGTTCATTTCACTATTATTATCCAAAAAGTTGCTTTTTTCCCATTATATCCCCTGTTTTGGAAAACAGGGAAGCAAATAAAATATTTTTAAAGAAAAAGCTTGCACTAAAGGCATTGATTTTACCCCTATTAAAAGACAAACTTGGGCATATTAAAAGTTTAACAAGTTTATTCAAGCATTCAGCCACATCAGTTGGGTGCCCTAGGACCACAAGCAGTTCAATCAGTGCTCCTCTAGGCAGGGAGGAAACCTTTTTTTTTTTTCTTTTTTTTTTTTTTTTGAGACAGAGTCTCGCTCAGTCGCCCAGGCTGGAGCGCAGTGGCGCGATCTCGGCTCACCTCAAGCTCCGCCTCCCGGGTTCACGCCATTCTCCTGCCTCAGCCTCCCCAGTAGCTGGGACTACAGGGGCCCGCCACCACGCCCGGCTCATTTTCTGTATTTTTAGTAGAGACAGGGTTTCACCGTGTTAGCCAGGATGATCTCGATCTCCTGACCTCATGATCTGCCCGTCTCGGCCTCCCAAAGTGCTGGGATTACAGGCGTGAGCCACTGCGCCCAGCCAGGAAACTTTTATAACGTATTCTCAGCCTAAGAAATAGATATTAGACTGGTTAAAGTGGAGACTCCCTAGTTAGATGTTACTTGGTGGCTTCCGATTGGTAAAGTCTCTAGTTACAGATTAGAAGTTTCATTTTACTGTTTACTACACTGAATTGGGTTTTGGTTTGCTTAGGTAGGAACCCAAAGCACTGACACTGTCTCAGCCTAATGGCCTCCCAATTTATTACCATTCCTTCAAAAATGATTTTTAAATATTTAAATGATTCTTAAATAGGTACAATTACTAGCTAAAATTCTCTGGAAAATTTAGTTTAAATGACTCATTCTCCAAGGTTGCCAAATAAAAAATAGCAAGCAATAGGGCTGGGCATGGTGGCTCACACCTGTAATTCCAGAACTTTGGAAGGCCAAGGCGGATGGACCACAAGGTCAGGAGTTCGAGACCAGCCTAGCCAACATGGTGAAACCCCGTCCCTACTAAAAATACAAAAATTAGCTGTGTGTGGTGGCTTGTGCCTGTAGTCCCAGCTACTTGGGAGGCCGAGGCAGAAAAGTTGCTTGAACCCAGGAGGTGGAGGTTGCAGTGAGCCAAGATCACACCGTTACACTCTAGCCTGGGCGACAGAGCAAGATCCCATCTCAAAAAAAAAAAAAAAAAAAAAAAAGCAAGCAATCGCTAGTGCAGTACAAACACTTCACATAAGACAGCTTGTGTGGAAGAGCTAATTAAGTGACTTACATTTCACACTTACCAAATTCCATTTATTATCAAGTTTCTATTTCTCCTGAGAACACAGACAAAAGAAAATTCATCACTAGGTACTGCATTCGTGCTGTGCCAGTGGAGGAAGGCTAGTTAGAACTGGCAAATCACTTGAATTTGTGTTATATACACCTAGGTTGAGTCTCTGCCATATTCTTGCAGTAGTTAATTTTTGACTGTTTTCCTTATGATTCTTGTTTATGGCAGGCAGCATTTCCAAAGTGGTTCCAGGAAGAAATCCTATCCTAAATCTCCAGAACCTGTGAACAGGATGAGTCATCACCATCATGATTTATGTTTTAGTCAGTGAGATTATCTGGAGAGTCCACACACTGGAGCTGACTTGAAGATGAAAGGGGCCATCTAGGAGGGCATACAGGTGACCTTAAGAAACTGGGAGAGGCTCCTGGCCCATAGCCAGCAAGCAAACAGGAATTTTAATTCTATGACCCCATTGAACTGAATTCTGGCAATAACCCAAATGAGCTAGGCAGATTTCTCCACAGAGCCTCAGATAAGTACTCAGCCCAGCAGCCTCTTGATTTCAGCTTGGTGATGCCCGAGGCAGTGAACCCAGCCACACCATGCCAGACTTCTGACCCATAGAATAGTGAGATTATAAATGGGTATCGTTTCAACCTACTTGGTGATCATTTGTTATGCAGCAATAAAAAACTAATATATTATGTCTCAATTAATGAAGTCAAAAATCCAGAAACTTTTCACCTATAATACCCGAGTTTTGGGAACCATGTCTAAGCATAAACCAAGAGTGAATTCTAAATTTATGGGAGGGAATAGCATTATTAATATCTTACTAAAGCAATACTAAAAATAATTATCCTACTACTAAAAACGCATTTCTGGGTCTAAGACTACCAGAAACTATAGGAGTGGGCTTTTCTTTTTTAAAATAAGGGGCTAAAAAGAGGGAATGTGATTGATTACTTGAAGGGAGATATGTCTATAGTAATGAGTAGAAAGGAACATATTACAATTGTCAACAGGAAGAACTACAATTAAATGTGAATTATTTGGTTCAAAGAACAGCTATAATAGATTCTTGTGGCTGAATATCTGACTGGCAAACTTCCCGCAAGCTTCCAGTAACTGACCCTTTGTCCCCAAGCTGTGCTGTCGAAATTAAATAGAGAGCCTCTAACGACCTTTTAATGTTTATTTGGAGACAAAGCATAAACAAATAGACTTCTCCCGAAGTGTCACACAGTGTAAAATATTTTCCAATTTGGTTAAGACAGTTTTTTTCACAATAAAAGGCAAGATGCAAAAAGCAGTTTGCATATTGCAATGTGTATAAAAGGAATTTCAAATGTTAAAATGCCTAGACATGTTACACTTTCAGATCAATAATTTTAAAAGCAATTTTAACCCCCAAAAAAAAACTTTGCTTAGAAAAATTAGTTACAAAGCCTAGGCAATGTAGGTCTTGGTCTTGGTCTTAGGTATTTGTTTATGGCAATGTTCTTCCTATTTTAGGAAATGATTAATACAGGAGCATTTCAATGCAATAAAAGCATTTTGAAAGTCTGCTATAGTTTATCAAAATAGGATGTGATGTATGCCAAAGTGTATTTACATTCAGAAAACATAAATACACATTTTATTTAAATGAAGCCTTAAGAATTTGAGGGTTAACTTTTAACTTTGGCCTATGTAAGATGTGTACCAATAGGACATGGTAAAGCACGGAGTAAAGTCTCCAAATATTATCAAATTCATCTCTCAGAAATAAAAGTGTGTTCAGACTCTTAAGAAAGTTTACCCTGGGGCTCAGACAAGTCTCTGTGAGACTGATTGGTCCAGGGTTCTGGTGGGACCAGAGTGGAATTGTACCTTTGTACTGTAGACTTTGCAGCTGCAGTTGTGTACCTAACTGAAATTGCACTCTTGTTGACCTCTTATCAGTCATATGAACTGAATGACTCTCTGCTTTTAATCTCAGTGGTCTTTGATGCAACAATTTTGCTGTTGTTAAGGCATATATTTATTAAGACTCTTTCTGCACGTTCCTTGCTATGGGTTTAGGGACAGAGTTCACACCAGTGTCTTGCCCTTTTCCCATGCCTACCTGTGTCCACGAAGTCTCTCCCAATCTTTTCCTGTTTTGCTTTAACAAATTGGGAAATGGCAACAAACAACTAGAAGGTGAAAACAAATAGGAAAAATGAGGGTATACCCACAGTTTTGCTGCTCCACACAGGCTGCAAATAAGGACACTTTATTTTTCTAACTTCTAGCTTAGCCCTCCCACCAGGATGGGGGATGGGGAGGGAAACATCATCTCGGTCATTTTTTTAGTGAATAATTTTATCTTCTTTGGGAATTCGGGTTTATACAATTCAGGGAAATTGGCATTCTCAGTGTATTGGTATGTGGTAGTGACTAGTAGGAAACGCTCATCATAGAAACTCCTTGATCAATCCAGAGAATGCTGGCTCTTATTTCCAACACCTGCTCACTCTGCCCAAACTCAGCCACCAGGACCATTGCCAAGTGACTATGCTACCTGGCCCCAGCACTCAGGCTTAATCTACACAGCCACCACCGCATATGACCTGGAAACAGAGCTTTCTACCTTTCTGCCTCATGGTATCAGAAATCCCACTGCCTCTGGGATTGGGCAGCTCTCTTAACCTTCAACCTTAGAGCCTCTTCAACACAGGTTACCCAGGGGCCCAGAGCAGCCTATCTCATCAAAACACACCAGCGTGTTGGTTAATAATGCAGATGCCTGGGCCCTGCCCCAGACCCACAGAATCAGAATCAGTGGAGTTGTGCCCCAGGAGTTTCCACTTCACTAAGTTCATCAGTAGATTCCTGTGCATTTCAAACTTAAGAAACACCAGGCCTTAGACTTTTGAAAAACCACATCTTTAAATTCTGTAGCAGTGAAAGTCCAGAGCTCTCATACAAGCTCTGCTCTTGTCTTGAAGAAGGGAAAGAAAAATATATCTCACTTTTACCAATGAGCTTACAACTAAGAAAACAAGACAAAATTTGTTCCTCAGTCAGGTTACTCAGCCCCACAAATGCTGAATAGAAATTGGTAAAGGATCAAAGATCACTAAGATGAAAGAAGGCAACACACACACACACACACACACCCCCACCCACCCACAATGATGAGCAGTTTTTATTCAAATGGAAGAGCCTTGGTTGTGGAGGGGCTTGCCAAAGGCCAGAATCTAAGTGGGTCCTGCCAAATGGCTACATGATATTGCCCACGAATAGATCCCACTGGGCTATATACAGCAGTTGGATAATACAAGAAATCAGTTCAAACCAAATTTACTTTCTTTCCATCTTTTCTTTTCCAGATTACTATTTTCTTCCCTGATATTTTTAAGGAAGTTTTAAGCAACTATTAATGGGCACTCACTAGAATACAAACATTCAATGTTAAGTATCTGCACTAGTGAGGGATTAAAAAACACAGGGATTATTTAAATTCAAAAGTAATTTAAAAACCACACATATTGCATGCATCAACAACTCTAGCTTTGATTTAGTGCTGTTAAAAGAAATTAAAAAGAATTAATTTAGCTTTATTAATCTTACTTTAAGGAAAAAAATATATAAACACACACACACATACTTTGAGGTCTCAAATATCCAGATTGATTAGTTATAAACTCAAATTTTTCCAGTAGCTAAGAGAGGTATAAGTGAAAAAATGTCTTAATTAACTGCTTTATTTTAATATTTCAGCTTAAGTTTGTATTCTATTCCATTACATAATATGTCTGTGTTTTAGTATAAAAATCATGGAGCGAATACTTCAGTAAGATGCACTATACTTCTATGACGCCTTCGCAGACAGTTCTCTGACATATATCTGATAAGGAAGCCTCACATAATTAAAATAACAGGGCTAACGGCCAGCCCTCCACTTCAATTTTGGAGGCATCCCTACAACAGGCAAACATTCAATGTGATGTGGTCATTAATTTCTCTAATTATAATGTTATTAAATTATAATGATAATGTCATCCCTAGAAATGATGGCTTCTGATAGAGTTGTCTTCTTTCTCTTTGCAGGGAACATTCCAATATCTATCTTCAAAATGGCCCAGATAGAATTGGGAGACTATATAAGAAGGCCCTTTATCTTCAGTACACAGATGAAACCTTTAGGACGACTATAGAAAAACCGGTCTGGCTTGGGTTTTTAGGCCCTATTATCAAAGCTGAAACTGGAGATAAAGTTTATGTACACTTAAAAAACTTTGCCTCTAGGCCCTACACCTTTCATTCACATGGAATAACTTACTATAAGGAACATGAGGGTAAGTTCAGCTCATGTAGCTGGAATTTCCTCTTACTTTTCAGTAGAAGTGCCTTTTAGCTTCTAAAATTGTGGACTTCTCTCCTGGATAAGACCTATAACTGCCATTCAGTTCTTAACTATTTTATTTTATTTCATTTCATTTCTTTATTTTATTTTATTTTATTTTATTTTGTTTTATTTTATTTTATTTTATTTATTTGAGATGGAGTCTCACTCTGTTGCCCAGGCTGGAGTGCAGTGGGGCGATCTTGGCTCACGGCAAGCTCCAAGTCCGGAGTTCACACCATTCTCCTGCCTCAGCCTCCCGAGTAGCTGGGACTACAGGCGCCTGCCACCACGCCCGGCTAATTTTTTTTTTTTGCATTTTTAGTAGAGATGGGGTTTCACCATGTTAGCCAGGATGGTCTTGATCTCCTGACCTCGTGATCTGCCCGCCTCAGCCTCCCAAAGTGCTGGGATTACAGGCGTGAGCCACTGCACCCGGTCAACTATTTTATTAATAGGTACTTTGTTTCCATATAATAATGGCATATTTCTCTTGGTTGTGCTCGTTCGTGGAAAGCGTGAATGTGAGAGAATTTCTAGGTGGACTCAGTGAGAGTCAGAGAGAGCTGGAGCTTCTTTCCCTGTGCCCAATCCTTTCTGGCCAAATAGTTAGAATAAGAGAAATGGACAATGTGCTTTAGAGCCTAGAAGAGGCAAAAATCCAGAGGGAAGAGAAAGAAGGACTCAAGATGTGAATTGCCTTATCTCTGAAGTTCCTACATGTAAACATACTGTGGCTGTTGTTACCTCCCATCCTAACTTTAGATAAACTCTGCCCCAGCTAAGGTGGCATATAGTAGTCCCATATGTCAGTCAAATGGTGTATGTGCCTGGATGACTCTAGTCACATATGAGACACAATTAACTGAAAAAGTCATTTGAATGTAGGACTTGGAAAACTTGAAAATATTACCTGAAAAACAAAGATAAGGTTTGGTGCCAGTGATCTTATTCTTAGTCCTTAACAATGATGGTAAAAAGGTGGTATTTTGTAGTGACGAAAAGCAAGGTGAAATTAATAGACCAAGGTCTGAGCCCCAGCCTTACCTTTTACTGGTTGAGTGACCTTGGACAAATTACTGAAATTCTTTCAGCTTCAGTTTCCTCACCTGTAAAATAGAGACAATGAGAATACATAGTAATACCTCAATAAATATCAGCTGTTGTCATAAGCAAAAATGCTGAAGTCATGCTACAGTTCATTGAAATTATAATGATCAAGTAGGGAAATTAATTTAAAATTAGATTTGATTCATTATTTGTTGTCTTTTTTAAAGAGATATTGTTTTAGAAGGTGAATGTGTTGACTTTTCTTGTTTTTGTTGTTGTTTAGGGATAATTACATTCATAGCATAAAAGGCTGTCATCCTATTTCTTTTTAATAATTTCATGGTTTATTAGGGAATTATCATTCATTTTAAAATTATGGTAATGGTACTGTGGTTTTATTAAAATAAAAAAAGAGTTCCTATCTTTTAGAGATACATACTCCAGTATTTATGAATGGAATATGATGTCTGAGATTTGCTTTAAAATAATTTGATGATACTGGGGATAAGAGTATGTGGGGGTACAGATGAAACAAGGTTGGCCTTGAGTCGATCACTGTTAAAGCTGGTTTGATGGGTACACGGAGGTTCAGCATTTTCTTCTCTCAACCTTTGTGTATGTTTGGAAATTTCCAAAATTAAGAGTAGAAATTTTTTTAATTTTATGGTTAATTCATGGGCAAAATTGTGAGATCACATAAGAAGTTTTGAATTTAGAAGAGGGTAGCCATTTTTCTCAGACTTCCATACCATGACCCAAGTTCTTTACGTTGCAAACAAAAAGTCATTTTGCTTTCTGAAAACCCAGTCAAATACTAAAAAAAAATTAAAAATGTCTGTGAAGCTTCTAAACATCCTAGCCATTAGCCTTTCATTTTCCTGTGTCCAAATAGGATATCACATCCCCAAGGATCACACAGTAGATGCTTAATAAATGTTTGCTGAACGAATTAATGGACTATCTATTCTCTCATTTAAGTTCAAACACATTCACTTTGTACCTTCATTGCATGTTGCTTCCTAGGGGCCATCTACCCTGATAACACCACAGATTTTCAAAAAGCAGATGACAAAGTATATCCAGGACAGCAGTATACATACTTGTTGCTTGCCACCGAAGAACAAAGTCCTGGTGAAGGAGATAGCAATTGTGTGACTAGGATTTACCATTCCCACATTGATGCTCCAAAAGATATTGCCTCAGGACTCATCGGACCTTTAATAATCTGTAAAAAAGGTACATCTTTTTTACATTATTTTTTACATTATTAAAGACAGGGGCAGGGCAGTTTGTCTTTTAAAAATAAGTCAAGTCTTCTGTGTTGAGATTGAGTAGGTAAGGTAGAGAGGTGGTGACTAGAAAAAAAGGCAGGGAAGAGCCAGGCAGGACTAGCAGAAGAAGGGATAAATGGAACAAGCATTCATATGGGGAAAATGCCAATGAAGCGAAGCTGAAAGAAATATATTCTCCCAGGGATCAGTTTGCTGTATCTAACTTCCAACAGTGGTGCTGAAGAGACATATGACTTTACCAAATGTGACTACCAAAAAGGCACTTCACGGTGATAGATCTGTAGTTACTCATACTATATTGGTAAACATAATATCATAGTATTTATTTCTAACATCATGAAAAAGACAACGTAGCTCGAGAGCCTGAAATACAATCCTAACTTGAACAATAGTTACCTATAAAGACTTGTCTCAGTTTGTGGCTATATGCACCACAAAACAGACACACAAGTTTGAATTCTAATCTTCCCATTTGCCAAAAAGCATTTAATAGTTATGTGGTCAGCGGATATCCAGATATGGGAATGTCTTCCAAGCACCAGATACTGATCATAAAAATTCCCTGAGTGTTTCTATGTCTGTAAAACAGGAGTGACCGGTCCAGACTTGTGATTTCTTAGAAAAAAATAAATACTAAAATTTTTAAAAACTATAAATCACCTGAAAACATAAGTCAAAATACATGCTAAAAGTTTAATCTTACTAAAATAGTAATTTTAACTCCAGATTCTCTAGACAAAGAAAAAGAAAAAAATATTGACCGAGAATTTGTGGTGATGTTTTCTGTGGTGGATGAAAATTTCAGCTGGTACCTAGAAGACAACATTCAAGCCTACTGCTTAGAACCAGAGAAAGTTGACAAAGACAACGAAGACTTCCAGGAGAGTAACAGAATGTATTGTAAGATTATAGAAGACATGTTAACTTTACTTTTTTTCCCCTTAATCCATTAACTCTGCTAAGCTTATTCCCTCATATAAGTAAGTACTGCGTGTCTAGTCTGTGGTCCTTATAACAAAGCATATTGGATGTGCAATTTGATATTCAGCCAAGTAAGTCAAAATAAAAATTCTAAGCCAGGTAAAGCCAGAGGCACCAAACTTGTTTCCCAAACTGGTAAGGATAAAACATCAATTATGGTTTAATGCCTATGTATGTGACATTAATATATTTATTTATCCACTAGACTCATTCTAAAAATTATTTGAGGCAGCTCCAAATTATTGAACTAAATACTTAAAACTATATTATATTTTAAAGCATCTAACTATATTTAAGAAATAGTTCAAACCACGAGTTCTGAAAGTATTCATTATACATACTATGTTGCCCTCACTGAGCCCCCTAGTCTGCATCATTCTTTTCTACATTTCAGTTCACTTTACTTTTCTAGAAATGCTTTTTTTACAGTTTAGACTTTTTCTTAATTCTCAGACACAAAATAATGAGCTTAGTAAGATTATCTATTTCTCATAATTTGCATGAGAAACAGCATCCCTTAACAACAACTAGACCAGTAAGTAGAGATTTTTGTTTGTGTTTAACTTCTTCAAAATAACCTGTACTCAGAAACCAAGAGCACAAAAATAACTATACTACCAAAGTAGAAAAAGAAACTAATTAACAAAGTACAGATTTTGTTTCTAACTTTTACTTTTATCTGGGTGGAAGGTCCTCTTTCCATACTTTAATCCTATCTCTGTTGTGTACCAACAAAAATAGTTGCTATAAAAAGATACTCAAAATTCTAGCCTGAGCAGGTTTGATTTGGTACCAGTGTCACATGTGGTAAACTCAGGATTCTTCCCAGAACTAATTTCCACTTTGGAAATGTTTAGGGCCACCCAGTTTGAACAATGACCATAAGTTTCTTCTGAGTGTTTCAGGCCACCTTGCATATGAACTTTTAGGTCTTTGTGGCTCTGTCCCTGCTGTCCTTCTATATTTTTTCCCTCCTTCATATCTCTTCCAATCTTAAAAATTTTGTCTGGCAATCTTTCAAAAAAGCTATTCTTATGTTCTTTTTACAAAAGAAATTTATGGTAAAAAATTGGAAAATTTCTGATAAGCAAAAACATCCATACTACTACTACCAACATGATTAATAACTGATTGAATACTAATCTTCAATCTTTTTTCTATTAATTCTATGTGTGTGTTTTGTTTATATGTATGTATATATGCACACATCTGTATTTACACACACACACACACACAATGTGTATAGTTTATAACAAAGACAGCAAATAGGTTTTGTCTTCAGTATTGTGTTCATCTGTTAATATGGTATTGATAAGAATCTTCAGGCTGAATTCAGTTCCAAAATGAAAGAGTGCTGTGATTGATTAGCAATGTCTGACATGAGTATAGGAGGGAGGAATACCAGCATGTGTGCCAGATATTTTCTATTCCAAATTGATTCTATTTATATAGAGGTAACTCTCACTATCTCAAGCATTAATAACTATTAGTCACAAACTCTGCTCTTGACTTACAGCTGTGAATGGATACACTTTTGGAAGTCTCCCAGGACTCTCCATGTGTGCTGAAGACAGAGTAAAATGGTACCTTTTTGGTATGGGTAATGAAGTTGATGTGCACGCAGCTTTCTTTCACGGGCAAGCATTGACCAACAAGAACTACCGTATTGATACAATCAACCTCTTTCCTGCTACCCTGTTTGATGCTTATATGGTGGCCCAGAACCCTGGAGAATGGATGCTCAGCTGTCAGAATCTAAACCATCTGAAAGGTAGGACATCTTTATCTGAAATTAGCAGTCAGCTGAAAAAGGTGGTTACTGGGAATCAGAATATAAAAGCTAAATATCTTTGAAATAATCTGAGCGTTGAACTGGCATCTTAGTGTTATTCCTATGATGGTATATATAAAATAATGTAATAAAAAAGACTATAAGACAAGTATATTATAAAGTAATGAAATCTGAAAATACATTAGTTTTTGGAAAGAACAACAGGCCCTGAAAGTATAGTACTATATATACTTACTCAGCTTTGTAAAATATACAGTACAGTGTTGTAAAATCCAGAAAAATTGTATGTTGCAGTGGAAAGTACCCTGTTTTTCGACTTATTTCCATCAAGTATAATTAACTTTGTTCTTTATTTGAGCCTGGCCATCCCCTAGTTTAACTCGATAAATTCTTCCTTTATCTCTTTAACTTAGGCAATAAAAACATTCCTTGTTCTTGAAAAATATTAGTTTTTAATATTGGTCTACTGAATAAATTAAGTTTAACACAGGAGTTCGGATACTTTACTTTGACCTGCAAATATAATTGCTTTTATCAAATACGCTCTGGGCCACAGAAGGCCCAGCACGGCAGATGCACAACCATCTTGCATAAGAGAGCAATAATACATGCTCATTTGGTACCTCCTCCTCCACCCAATGCAACCCCTTAAAATATGTCAAAGCCTCTCTTCTCTGCTTATCTACAGATTTGTTCTTTTTCTCTCATCAAAAGAACTACCAAGTGAAACCCCACAGAAACTGGTACCATATTGAAAACACATATGCTTAATATCTCTATGTTGTATGTACATAAAAAACAAAGTATGTCTGTTTTAAACTTGAGTTTTCCATCACGAACTTATTTACAGCTGTTTGCCCTCCTTTATAGTACTGTTTCTATCTGTCTATTCCTTCAATTTCTACTTGTCATCACCCGAGCAGTGTTTACAGGGCAATAGGAGAGAGAAACATTGGCTCCATTAATCAATGCCTCTTTCTGTTTCATTTCAGCTGGTTTGCAAGCCTTTTTCCAGGTCCAGGAGTGTAACAAGTCTTCATCAAAGGGTAATACCCATGGGAAGCAGGTTAGACACTACTACATTGCCGCTGAGGAAATCATCTGGAACTATGCTCCCTCTGGTATAGACATCTTCACCAAAGAAAACTTAACAGCACCTGGAAGGTAATTCACAAAAAGAGTACTATTTCAAAATATGCTCTCCCCCACACAAAGGAACTACAAAAGGCTAATTCAGCAATTACAATTTTAACTGGTATCTGAAATTGAGTAACTAGACTGCTAAATATTTATTAAGGTATTTGGTATAAGAGTCTGAGTTTGAGAACTATGAGTTTTGAGCCCATGAAAAAAATTGGGTTCAAAAGATATCAAATGCTTGACAAAGTCCTAAGAAAACACTGAATACAATTAGATAAATCAATTAATTTGCTTTCCATTTCAGAAAACATGGCACTGTACAATTCAGCAGCATGAAGTACATTTACAGTGCTACATAGCCATCACAACTATCCATTTCCAGAACTTTTTTTATCATCCCAAATAGAAACTCTGAACCCTTTAACAGTAACAACCTTCTTCCTCTCTTTCTCCACTCCCTGATAAGCTCGATTCTACTTTCTGTCTCTATGAGTCTTCCTATTCTAGGCAACTCATACAAGTGGAATCATACAATATTGGTTCCTTTGTGTCTTTTATATCACTTAGCATAATGTTTTAAGATTTGTTCATGTTGTAGCATGCATCAGAATTTCATTCCTCTTTAAGGCTGAATAATGCTTCATTGTATGTATATACCACATTCTGTTTATTCATTCATCGGTTGATAAATATTTGGGTTGTTTCCACCTTTTGGCTATAGTGACTAATGTTGCTATGAACAACTGTTATACAACTATCACTGTTCAAGCCTCTGCTTTTAATTCTTTTGCATATCCAGCTAGAAGTGGAATCGCTGGATCATATGGTAATTCTATTTTTAATTTTTTGAGGAACCACATTTACTGTTTTCCATAGTAACTGCACCATTTTACAGGCTCATCAGCAATGTACAGGGGTTCCAATTTCTTCACATTCTTATCAACACTTTTTCTGTTTTCTTTTTTTAATTAATAGCCATCCTAATGAGCATGAGTGATATTTCATAGTGGTTTTGATTTGCATTTCCTTAATGACTAGTAATGTTGAGGATCTTTTCATGTACTTTTTAGTCATTTGTGTCTCTTCTTCAGGGAAATATCTATTTAAGTCCTTCAGCCATTTTTGAAGTGGGGTTTTTTGTTGTTGTTGACCTGTAGGAGTTCTTTATGTATTCAGGATATTAATTCCTTATCAGTTATTTGCAAATGTTTTCTGGCATTTTGTAAGTTGTCTTTCACTTTCTTGATAGTGTCCTTTAATGTATACAAGCTACTCTTTGTACGTGTCTGAATGACTTCCACAGCCTCCCAGCCATTCTTTGTTTGTCTTCCTTTCCTACTATCGATTTTCTACAAAGCAGTACTGTGATCTTTCAAAAATGTCAATGAGATGATGCCACTCCCCTGCTCCAAGTCTTTACTCATATATCACTTCCTCAGAGAATCCCTGTTTGCCATCCATATTAAAAATACCCTCCTTGGAAAGGTTAAGTAATTCATCCAACATCACACAATAAATGGATAGCTAGGCCTCGCTCAGCCCAGACCTGTGACTCCTGAAGCAGAGATGTAAGTCCCAGGCTACACTGACACCTACATGTGATTACTCCTAAAGCTGCATCTCCAACTCAGAAGGCTCTTGTGAATTTCAGATTTGCATTTCAAACTTTAACTTAGTGACATCCCCACTTGGATGAGGCTGTTCAAACTTCTCTCCTCATCAAGTACTGCCTCATTTTATAGAAACTATCTCTGAAAGCTATCTACTTCTCTCCATCTTCTTTGCCAATACCTATGAACTCATCTCTGCCTCTTACTGAGATTAGAAAAGCAGGTTCCTGACTGGTCTCCCTACTGCAATCTTCTATTTTCCAACGCATTCTCCAAACAGCTACCAGAGGGATCCTCCTAAAATGCTAATCCTGGATGCTTAAATCTTTCAAATGCTTCTCACTGCCCTGGGATGGGCTGAAACCTTAACTAGGTCCTCCTGCCTATCTCCCATCTATCTAAGCCTCATTCTTCACTCCTCTGCCCTGCCCTGCATGCTATGCTTCTGCCATATTTTCTAGAACATGGCACACTCGCTGTTTTCTCTAAGCCTTCTCATAGGCAGTTTCTTCTTTGTATACACCAGCCCTAGTCTCCACGCTACACACACACTTCATCTTGCTAACTCTACTCCCCCTTTAGATAGTTTTAAGTAATCACTTCCTCTGGAACATCTTTGTGGCCTCTTCGCTGCACTTTTCCCCAACCTCAAAGAAATGCTCCATAACACCCTGTGTTTACTACACTGTATTATATTGATGGGTTCTAGCCTGTCTTCTCTGCTAGGTGTAAGGTTCATGTGGATAGGGATGAGTCCACCTTGCTTATGGTTAAGTCATCAACACGTAGCAAGATTCCCAGCAAAGAGCAGGTGTTTGATGCAGTTGTCAAATGAAAGAAATAATCAATGAGGTGGCTTTGTGCAAGTCAAATAATTACCTTTCTGAAATTTAATTTCTTCACTTGCAATATAGGGAGAATAATACCGACTTTGTGGTGATGTCACGTGAGTTTCAGCTAATAAACAAAAGCTCCTGGCTGGGCGCGGTGGCTCACACCTGTCATTCTAGCACTTTGGAAGGCCAAAGCGGGTGGATCACTTGAGGCCAGGAGTGCAAGACCAGCCTGGCCAACATCCCAAAGCCCCATCTCTATTAAAAACCAAAAAATTAGCTGGGCATGGTGGCATACGCCTGTAATCCCAGTTATTTAGGAGGCTGAGGTATGAGAATCACTTGAACCAGAGAGGCAGAGGTTGCAGCGAGCCAAGATCGCACCGCTGCACTCCAGCTTGGGCAAGAGAGGGAGACTCTGCTTAAAAAACAATAAATAAAAAAAAAAAAAAAAAATAAATAAATAAATAAATAAATGTTCCTGAGCAGCTGGCCAGTGCTAATACACAACAAAGAGTAGCCACTGTGGGCCAGGCGCAGTGGCTCATGCCTATAATCCCAGCACTTTGCAACGCCGAGGCGGGCGGATCGCGAGGTCAGGTGATCGACACCATCCTGGCTAACATGGTGAAACCCCGTCTCTACTAAAAATACAAAAAAGTAGCTGGGCAGGGTGTCACATGCCTGTAGTCCCAGCTACTCGGGAGGCTGAGGCAGGAGAATCGCTTGAACCTGGGAGGCAGAGGTTGCAGTGAGCTGAGATAGTGCCACTGAACTCCAGGCTGGGCGACAGAGCGAGACTCCCTCTCAAAAAAAAAAAAAAAAAAAAAAAAGAGTAGCCACTGTGTTTTTAAACATTTCACAATGTGATAAAAAGATTCTATGGTAGAATCCTTTGTCAAGGGATTGACAGGGGCCCTTTTGAAAATTTTCTCTTTACTTGAAAAAATAAACATCCTCCATGATTCTCTACTTCTTAACTGACCATCCTTCTATGAGTGGCCTGGAACTGTCTCCTTTGTTTGAGTAACTGGTACGGACTGCTGTAAATCATGGATAATATTCATCTCTAAGCACTGGTCAGAATTTTTCTCTTAAATTAGCACCTTAAGTGAATACCTGCTTTCTGTTCTACTTCAACCCCAGCATTAAACATTTTTTTCCCCCGGCAGTGACTCAGCAGTGTTTTTTGAACAAGGTACCACAAGAATTGGAGGCTCTTATAAAAAGCTGGTTTATCGTGAGTACACAGATGCCTCCTTCACAAATCGAAAGGAGAGAGGCCCTGAAGAAGAGCATCTTGGCATCCTGGGTGAGTCCGTGCAGAATATTTATGGCTGGTATATGCTTCCCATGGGCTAAATCAACCTCAGAAAGAAAAGTAACTTCAGGACCTACTGCATGATTTCTATGTGTAAAGTAGGTGTGTGGAAGATAAAACAATAAAATGCAGCAGCTAATTACTTTTCCAAATGTAAATTACCAATAGTAAATTCTCATCATTAAAAGCCCTGCTGAGGGCTGGGACTGGTAGCTCACGCCTGTAATCTCAGCATTTTGGGAGGCCGAGGGGGGCAGATCACTTGGGTCAGGAGTTTGAGACTAGCTTGGACAACATGGCAAAATCCCATCTTTACTAAAAATACAAAAATTAGCAGGGCGTGGTGGCAGGTACCTGTAATCCCAGTATCTTGTGCCTCCATGCTGAGGCATGAGAATCGCTTGAATCCGGGAGGTGTAGGTTGCAGTGAGTCAAGATCCTGCCACTGCACTCCAGCCTGGGAGACAGAACCAGACTACATCAAAAAAAAAAAAGAAAGAAACACACACACACACACACACACACACACACACAAACCCATGCTGACCTGACTTCAAATGGTTATTTTTTTCTTCAAAGAGGAAGGGGAATTGTGTGTTGTGTGTTTATGTGACTTGGTTTAAATAGATAACTAAGTTGTGAACCTCTGCACTTAAAGATGTGTTCCCTTAGAAATAAAATCCAGGCTAGGGCCGGAGGCGGTGGCTCACGCCTGTAATCTCAGCACTTTGGGAGGCCGAGGTGGGCAGATCACAAGGTCAGGAGATCGAGACCACCCTGGCTAACACGGTGAAACCCCATCTCTACTAAAAATGCAAAACATGAGCCAGGCCTGGTGGCGGGCGCCTGTAGTCCCAGCTACTGGGGAGGCTGAGTGAGGCAGGAGAATGGCGTGAACCTGGGAGGTGGAGCTTGCAGTGAGCCGGGATCCTGCCACCGCACTCTAGCCTGGGTGACAGAGCGAGACCCCGTCTCAATAAATAAATAAATAAATAAATAAATAAATAAATAAATAAAACCCAGGCTACTAATGAGACAAGCAGGATCTGTCCTAGAGCCCCTCTGCAGGCTGCCCCTAGGCAGAGTCCAGAGACCTGTTCTCGCCAAGGCACTCAGGCAGAAAAGCCTAGTGGGTGAGCAAACGGAGTATGGATTCAGATTGTCCTGGCTCTTCACTTTTATTTTTCTAGCAGTGACTCAGAGGTATAATACTTTTTGAACAAGGTATTACAAGAATTGGAGGCTCTTATAAAAAGCTGTTTCTTTGTGAGTACACAATGCATACATTAGCTGCGTGACCTTTGAAAGTTACTGAACTTGGCTGGGCGCGGTGGCTCACGCCTATATTCCCAGCATTTTGGGAGGCCGAGGAGGGCAGATCACTTAGGTCAGGAGTTCGAGACCAGCCTGGCCAACACGGCGAAACCCCATCTCTACTAAAAAAAAAAAAAAAAAAAGTACAAAAATTAGAAGGGCATGGTGGCGAGCGCCTGTAATCCCAGCTACTCGGGAGGCTGAGACAGAAGAATCGCTTGAACTTGGGAGGCAGAGGTTGCAGTTAGCGGAGATCATGGCACTGCACTCCAGCCTAGGCAACAGAATGATACTCCCTCTCAAAATAAAGAAAAAAGAAAAAAAGAAAATTACTCACTGTCTGTCCCTGCTCCCTTCTATAAAATGGGAACAATAGTTACTAAAGTTGGTATAGGGATTAAATGAGTTAACAGACATAAACACTCAGAAAAACAGATAGGAAGCTCTCAATGAATGTCATTTTGTATATTACATAAAATATTTATGTAAAATATATTTTTTATTCTATAATTGGTAATCATTAATTTTGGTCATGGAAAATCCAAAACAGTGTTATCCGTCACATCCAAAACAATTCAACTTACCTGCTTTGGGTGGTCAAAGTTTATAGCACCTAACTCTTGGTACAAATGACACACCTCCAGCCAACAGAAGATTAGGCTGAGGAGTGTCAACATTCTGAATAGTTTTTGTAGATGTGTAACTTATTAACTGGCTTGTACAAAAATGATAATCAATTTCATTAATCTGAAGTTGAATTAAAAAGCCCTTCTCTCCTTCCAACCTCAACATATCAGATTGATTATGGATTTTTCAAAAACCAAGCTTTCCATTCACCACAAATAAGCATGTTGCTCCTAGTAGTTCTTGCCAGAGAACACAGTCAAAGAAGGTAACTGTCTTATACATTCTGCATGTTATATACCAAGGAAGGATAATAATTCTCTTTGTTCCCAGGTCCTGTCATTTGGGCAGAGGTGGGAGACACCATCAGAGTAACATTCCGTAACAAAGGAGCATACCCCCTCAGTATTGAGCCGATTGGGGTGAGATTCAATAAGAACAACGAGGGCACATACTATTCCCCACATTACAACCCCCAGAGCGGAAGTGAGTACAGCACTGTAACAAATCAACAATGTTTAATAACCTATTGTACTGGTCACTTACAGTGTCCTGCAAAAACTGAAGGCAGGAACTCCCAAGGAAACTGCTCATATATCATTTCTAGGCATCATGCCAGGAAACAAATAAACCCCTTTTCCTACCTCCAATTGGTTTATGGAATTTTGTCCTGCCTTAATTGGATGATTATTGACAATCCTGAGAGTAATTTAGTTGGGTTGTATCAATTATACATTTCTGGAGTACTCTGGGTGATTTTTAATTTTTAAAAAAGTTCTTATAAGACTGTACCATGTTAACTTTAGAATATTTGAAGAATTTAGAAAGAATTTAGAAAGGTGTAGCCCAAAATATTAATTATCTATAGTTCTATAAACAATCACTCATATTTTTATATAATTCTTCCACTTTCATCTGTATATATATAATATATATTTTAAATATGGTTGAGATCATAGCAAATAAATGTTATTTTAATTTCATAATTAGAGTTTGTTCTTTTAGCATTACAAGGGTTTTAGAAACATAATTTTAATGATATAAAATATTTCTTCATGTGGATTTTTTCACTATTTTTACATATCAAGAAGGACCAGTGAAGACTGGAGACTTTGCTACCACTTGCAGTATGACTGTGAGCAGGTTATTCAATCTTTCTGGCTTCAGTTCTCTCGAGTGTAAATTTGAGAGATTTAAATAGGATCACCTGCAAAGTTCCTTTCAGTTCTACAGTTATTTTCAGTTCCATTTTATTCAATAGACAATGCATTGATTACACTGTATTGCCAGGCATTGTTCTAGCTGATAGAAATATAGCGACAGCACTTGCCTTCAAGAAAGTTAAGCTCTGTTCGAGAGAAATACACACAAAGTAACATGAAAGGTGCTAGGGACATTCCCGGAAGATGTGTGAGCACAAAGAGGGACACCAATCTCAGGAGAAGGTTTAGAAGAGTCTGTCTGGATGCAGTCACATCAGTCTGTTATCTGACACCAGAGGATAAGTGGGATTCCATTCCAATTTATAACAAAGAACTCAAAAGTGGGTTATTTTAGACTAAACTTAGTCTACTTTGTGGCTCAAATGACCATATTAGAAAGCACACTTCACCTCTCAACTGTGACCTTTCTCACAGGTGTGCCTCCTTCAGCCTCCCATGTGGCACCCACAGAAACATTCACCTATGAATGGACTGTCCCCGAAGAAGTAGGACCCACTTATGCAGATCCTGTGTGTCTAGCTAAGATGTATTATTCTGCTGTAGATCCCACTAAAGATATATTCACTGGGCTTATTGGGCCAATGAAAATATGCAGGAAAGGAAGTTTACATGCAAATGGGAGACAGGTAAGTGCAATTGGGGGAAAAAAATTGTTCAATCTCTTTGAAAATGATCCTTTGACAGAAATAGAAATATCTAACTTCATCATTATCTCCAAAAATACTTTAGTATATACCTTTAAAAGATAAGGACTTCTTTAAAAAAGCCCACAATGATCACACCTTAAAATAATAACCACACACATCATAACTCTTTAAAGTTATCAAATAGCCAATCAATGTTCACATTTCTCCAATTGACTTATTAGGTCTGTTGTTTGGATCAGTATCCAAACAATTACACATATTACAATCAATTTATATGTTTCCTAAGATTGTTTACTTGCAGTTTTTCTGTTGCAAGAGTCATCAGTCTGGTAGAAGTTTCCCATGTCTTGATTTTATTTATTTTATCGTATGGTATCATTTAACACAGGGGTCCCCAACACACTCCACACACACACCCATGGGCCACACAGCAGGAGGTGAGCCTGTTAGGTGTCTGTTAGGAGCACAGCAGAAAGTAAGCAGCAGGTAAGCAAGCATTATTGCCTGAGCTCTGCCTCCTGTCACATCAGTGGCAGCACTAGATTCTCATACAAGCACAAACCCTATTGTGAACTATGCATGTGAGGGATCTAGGTTGCATGCTCCTTATCAGAATCTATGCCTGATGATCTGAGGTAGAATAGTTTCACCCAGAAACCACTCCCCTTTCCCAATGTTTTGTAGAAAAATCGTCTTCTGTGAAACTGGTCCCTGGTGCCAAAACTGTTGGCGGTTGCTAAAACATGTTTCTTTCCCTCTGCTTCTATTTCCTATAACTAGTAGTTAGACCTAAAAGTTTGATCCAATTCAGATTTTTTTTTTTCTTTCGAGACTCCTCCAAATGTGGTACTGGACACTTCTATCAGGGAGTACGTAATTTATAGTTGGCCCTTAACTGGGGATGTTATCAGCTACTGATGATGGTTTCCTAGATTCATAAACTAATCAGGGTTGCATAATGGCAATATTCTAATTCCATCTTCCTTTCTTTATTAGCTGGCATACTTCTCTATAAACAGAAACTTCTTAAGGAATTATTTGGTTACCCTGAGGTACACAGTATACAGAAAGGGTATGACAAATACTTGATTCATTCCTTGTATTTACAAGTTTTCAAATTAATCACTCTCCTCTAGCATTCTTCAAAAGCTTCTCAATATTTTTTTTACTTTAAAGTAGCATTGTGCACTCATGGATTTAAGTATATTTGGTGTGTTATGATTCACTGCCATTATTCCTACTGATGTTCAAAGTATCCTTTTTGACACCGAAGGACTTGTTCAGGTTGATTCCTTTATTTTTACATCACAGTAGTCTGAAGATTCTTTGCTTTCTAGTATAATGAGACACCAGGCTAATTTTGCACATTTTCTGAGCCAGAACTGGAACTAACCATTTGTTCCCAAAAGCCCTGTTTTTTGTTTGTTTGTTTATTTTTTTGGTGAGGAATCATTTTTGGAACCACAATGTGGGCACTAGAGTTGCTTGTTGCTATTGGGCAAACAATTGTTTCTGGGCCTTTTCAGTGGAAGAACATGGGAAAAGACTTTTCAGATGAATTCATCATGATTTCATACTAATACTTTCTATTCAAATTTGAGTCTACAGATTTTTTGGTTTGTTATTGACTACATCAATCTTGTATTTGTATCTGCCTTAAACTGCACTGAAAAATCTTATTTTTTTAATGACACCAACATATTCACTTGAATCATCTTACAATACACACACAACAGTCTCAGAATCACAATTACAACACTACAATCAACAATATGATTACTAAAAACAGTTTAAGATTTGTTTGCCAATCTTTTTGTCCTTCGGGTAGATCCCATTAGAGATTTTTAGCCAAATTACATATTTAAAGTCACCTGGAATAGTTCTTCTCTACGTAGTTTTGCCATCACTGGATATACGGGTTAATTCATTATACTTCTCTGTTTCAGCAATTGCTTTTAAAACTGTAATATTATTTTATGTAAAATATTCATAACTCACTATAGTAAACTTTTTTTTTTTTTTGCTTTATAGTTTATTTATTTTTTTGAGATGGAGTCTCGCTCTATCACCCAGGCTGGAGTGCACTGGCAGGATCTCAGCTTACTGCAAGCTCTGCCTCCCAGGTTCACACTATTCTCCTGCCTCAGCCTCCAGACTAGCTGGGACTACCGGTGCCCGCCACCACACCCGGCTAATTTTTTTTTGTATTTTCCGCCTGCCTCAGCCTATCCTTCCATTTTTAAATAAACAAATGTGTGTGTATTCATATCTTTGCTTTTTTCACTTCACAATAGAATCTGAACATCTCTTCATAGTATTGTATGTAAACATTGCTCATTCCTCATTTCTTTACATAGTATATATTACTCTGATGTGTGGACATGCTACAGTTTATACAATCAGTCCCTTATTTGACAAGTGTTTGGGTTGCTTCTAGTCTTTGCCTTCACAAATACAAAATAATGTACAGCTTTGTTAGCCTTGCTCACGTCTCTTTGTATTTTTGCCAGCATACCTTAGTGATAAATTCCTAAAAATTGTATTGTTGGAACAAAAGGTAAATGCTTATACAGTTTTGTGAAATATTGCCAAATCCCCCTCTGTAGTTGTGCCAGTTTGTATTTCCAGAAGTTACAAGTGAGATTATCTGTGTTTCCACAGCATTATTACAAACGATATTGTCAAATTTGGGGATTTGCACAAATCTGATAGGACATAAATGGTACAGTCGAGGAGTGGATCCTATTTATCTTTTTCTATATGGCTATCCAGTTATCCACAAAAAAGCTAAACTTTTCCGCATTGATTGAAATGCTGCCTTTATCATCTACTAAAATATTAATACATAAGTGAGTCTATTTCTAGATTTTCTATGCTGTTCTGCTGGTCTTTATCTATTCATGCACCAATACTATACTGCTTTAATTAGAGGGCCCTTTAGTATGTTTAATGGCTATAGCTATGTCTCATTTCTCTTCTTTTCCTTCATTTTAATGACTAATTTTGCTTACTTATTCTTTCTACTGAACCTTAGAAAAACTTACCTAGATCCAGAAAAAGGCTTGATAGTGTTTTATTGGGATTGTTTCAAACGATGTAAGTAGGGAGAACAGACATAATTATGAAGTTGAGTCATCCTACATAAGAATGTATGTCTTTCCATTTGTTCAAGTCTACATTTGTGTTTTTCAAGAGTATTTTATAGTTCCTCTTATATGGATCTTGGATTTTTTTTAAGATTACGCCGAGATGTTTTATTTTTATTTGACCTTTGTAAATGGTAATACGATCACTTAAAATTTTAAATATGTGGCTGGGTGCGGTGGTTCACACCTGTAATCCCAGCACTTTAGGAGGCTGAGGCCAGTGGATCACTTGAGGTCAAGAGTTTGAGACCAGACTGGTCAACATGGTGAAACCCTGTCTCTACTACAATTACAAAAATTAGCCAGGCGTGCTGGCACATGTCTGTAATCCCAGCTACTCAGGAGGCTGAGGCATGAGAATTGCTTGAACCCAGGAGGTGGAGGTTGCTGTGAGCAGAGATCGCGTCACTGCACTCTAGCCTGGGGGACAAAGCCAGACTCTGTTTTGAAAAAAAAAAAATTTTTTTAAAATATGTAACTGAAAAAGAAAAAAAGGTTTTCTACTTTTAGATTCCTATTCTTGATCTTGTGCTTACTTTGGAAGGAATAAAACAAGACTAATATTTATTAAACTCTCTCCAGGTACCATCACACATATTACCTTATTTAACCTTTGCAACAACACAAGAGGCTATGTATTTTTATGCTCATTTGGTGGACAAAGAACTGATGCTCAATGAGTTGAGATTTAAAATGAGATTTACCTTCTGCATATTTCATTATCTTCATTTTGCAAATGAAGAAATCACAACACAGGAAGGCCTACAGAGGCATCAGAAGTCCTCATCCTGGTTTTCTCAGTTACTAGTCATGTGGCTACAGATTAGTTATTTAATATTTCTCATGTCCATCTGAATCATCAGGAAAATGGAGATGAAACCTGCCCTGCTGACGCATCTTGATGGGTTGCATTCTCTCTTTTTGAAAGAAACAAATGGAATGAATATAGGTTAAAGCCCTGGGCAAGCTAAAATATATTAAGCTGACATGGAACGGTTATCTTGTCTAAATGCATACAACACAATGTGAAGTCAATCAATTTCTAAAGCAAGTTCCTGACCTTTATAACTATTATTTTTAAAAAAAAAAATCCGTTTAATATGAAAGTATTTCATAAACACTGTTAAAATTATGAAAATATATGGAAGTAAAAGAAAATAGTCTCAACACAAAAAAGGGATCACAATTGCATATATTGTTTGCAATTTGCTTTATACACTTAAAATATTATGACTATCTTTCTATATCATTAAAAAAACTTCATCATTATTCTGAATGACTGCAAAGTATTTCATGATATGAATGCACTATAATTTATTCAGTCAGTTCCCTATTGTCAGACATTTAGATGGTTTGCAATTTTTTACAGTTATGAACCCTGTGTATTTGGCATACTATTTTTTGTTTTAACTAAAGAGTAGGATATGTCCATTTTTACTTCATGGGAACAAATCTTGGGACTTAAATTTCTAGGTCACAGGCTAGGCACAACTTATGTGCTTGTCAAACTGCTCTTCATAAAGTAGTATTTTTCAAACTGCAGATCACGACTCATTTAGTCGGTTGTAACTAGCAAGTAGAATTTTTTGAAGTATCAAGTGGGAAAGAAGAGACAATGTCAAAGTATACCACATACAGTAAGTACCAAGTAAGTGTTGTCAAAGTATACCACATACAGTAAGTACAAGTAAGTGTTAAGGAAATTTCTTTTCTGGTGTGTGTGTGTGTGTGTATACGATCACAACATGAAATGTACTTCTTATGTGGTTGCAATAGAAAAGTTTGAAAATCACTGCATAAAGTGTAGGAGAGAGGCTGTTCTCTGCTGTTTTACTAATACTTAGTTTTATGTTTTTACAAACAGCATAGGTGAATTACTGCACCTCATTCTCATTTAAATTTATAGTTTAATAATGTTTTTTGACCATTTGTACTGCTTTTGTCAATTTCTTGGTGATGGCAGATATTCATTTTCAATTATTAATCCATAAAAATATCTACATATTAAGTCATATAATATATATATGTGTGTATATACTATATACATATTACCTTTGTTACATATAATGCAGGTCTTTTTCTTTTTTGTGTTTTTTCATATTCCATTATTGCTTACAGTTGAGTGTTTTTATTTTTTGTTTGCCTATGACGATATAGCTGTTTTCAGTGTTGCATAGCTAAATTATCAATTCTTTTATTTTTTTTGCCTTTTGTATCATACTTAGAAAATTATTTTCTACTCTATAGGTAAGTAAATATTCATCTACATTCTAGTCAGTATCTTAAAATTCTACTTGTAACACATTTTGAGTTTGGCAAGTAGAGCTCTAAGCTCTAAGTTTACCTTTTCTAAACAACTATTAGATTATCTGAGCATTATATATTAACCAATCTATTCTTTACTGACTGATTTGAAGTGTCACCTTTATCACATTGTAAATCTTGAATATATCTGGATGATTTTTCTAGGTTTCCTAGTTTACCATGTGACCTATCTGTACCCTACCTGTACCACATTGTTTTTATTATTATAGTTTGTAAAGTTTTAAATACATGATAGAACATGTTCATCCATTACTAAAAAGAATTACTTTCCCTTTTATTCTTAGATGCCCTCACGTACACATTCTTCTAGATCAATTTTAATAAAATTTTGTTAAACTAAAAAACTGCCATTGGTAGTTTTTATTATTATTACATTAAATGAATAGCTTTAGTTGGAGAGAATTCATCTCTTGGCTATAATTCATCTCTTAGCTATAGTTAGTCTTTCACCAGGAGCCCTTTAATTCAAGTTGTCTTTTTAATAATTCAGTAAATTCTTACAGTCTTTTTCATATTTGTCCTGCATGTTTCTTATTGAATTCCTATTTTTAAAAATATTATGCATTTCATGGTATTTTCTAATTGCATATTGTCATTATAGAAATAGCTGTTAGTTGCTTAACATTTATTTTGGAGCTGGACATCTAAATATTCGTTTCTTAGTTCAAGTAATTTCCAACTGATTCATATAGGTTCTATATTATCTACAAATAATGCTAATTCTCTTTGCCAGTATTTCAAATTTGTTCTATGTTCTTGCCTTATTATGATGGGTAGAATATTACAAATAATATTAAACAATAGTGGTAATAGCCAGTAGCCTTGTTTTGTGTCTGATCTTAATGAGAACATCTCTATTTATTTTACCACTAAGTATGAATTGGCTAGTGGTTGTGCTTTATTCTACTTCTAGTTTACACAGAGTGTTTTTAAAACAAATCACTTGTTTATAAAACAAATCACTTGAGCTGCTCAAAAAACATCCTGTGCTAGGCACAGAATTCACTGGTAAATAAGACAAGTAAGTTTCCTGCTCTGACAGGTTTTTATTCTAGTGTATATGGGAGGAAGGAGGGGGATGGGAGGAAAGGAGATGAACATAAGCAAACAAAAGAAAATTAAATAGATAACCTCAGAAAGTGACAAGTTCTGTAAAAAAAAGAAAAATAGGGTAATGAGATAGTGAACAGAAATTCTAGTTCAGATAATGTGGAGATAATATTTAATGTGATACCTAAATTTCAAAGAGGCAGCCTTGCAAAGATCTGAGAGAAAAGCAAAGGGAAGAGCTAATGCCAGATGTCGTATTTTATAAAAATTTCTTTTTAGATTTTCTTGAAATCATTATATAATTTTTCTCCTTTAATGTGATCAACTACAAATAAATATGACCAGCTACATTAAGGATTTTCTAATGTTAAACTATCTTTGTTAAACTATCCTTGCACTCTGGGGGAGAACAACACTTGAGTATGGTGAATTTTTCTTTAATATATTGGTGGGCTGAGTTTGAACATGTTTGATTTAGAATTTCTCATTTAAGCTTATAAATGAAATTAATATCCATGGTTATACTATCTTTATTAAATAAACTAGGAATAGTTTAAATAGTTGGGAACCATCTGCTCCTTAGAGAGCTGAAAGAAACTGCCTGTAAAATTATTTTGACTTTTAAAAAGGAGTAGTTTTGTTGTTTATGTATGGGACTCCCCCCATCCTTTCTTTTTTTTTTTTAGACAGAGTCTTGCTCTGTCGCCCAGGCTAGAGTGCAGTGGTGTGATCTCAGCTCACTGCAACTTCCACCTGCTGGGTTCAAGCTATTCTTGTCCTTCAGCCTCCTGCGTAGCTGGGACTACAGGCACCCGCCACCACGCTCAGTTAATTTTTGTATTATTAGTAGAGATGGGGTTTCGCCATGTTGGTCAGACTGGTCGAGAACTCCTGACCTCAAGTGATCTGCCTGCCTCGGCTTCCCAAAGTGCTGGGATTACAAGTGTGAGCCACCGCACACAGCCTGTTTATGTTTTTAATCACTGGGATTACAAGTGTGAGCCACCGCACACAGCCTGTTTATGTTTTTAATCACTATTTCATTTCAGCCATGAGTACTGGTCTAGTCAGGCACTTCTTTCTAAGTCAGTTGATCACACTTATTGCATATAATGATTTACATTTTTCTTCCCTATATATGTGATTATATTCCTTTCTCATTTCTAATGTGGTATTTTTTGGTTCTCTCCACCTTTTTTATTAGACTTGCCAGAGATTTATATATTTCTCTGGTCTTTTCACAAAGTATATTTTTGGGCTTAATCATTTTACCTGTGTTAAATTTGTTAATTTATGCTTTTGTCTTTATTAATTTTTCTCTGTAACTAATTTAAAAAATTTTTTCAGATATTTACATTTATTTTTATTTGGTTTTAAGATAAAAAGCTTTTCAGATTCTTAGTTTATATGTTTACATTCCATACATTTTTCTTTACAGCGTTCTCACAGACATTACTTTATCTCAATTACTTGAGATTTGTTATCTCAATATTTCATTTTTATTTTCTCTTTGATCTAAGAGTTATTTGGATCAAAAATGACATTCTTTTTTTACTTTTTGTCCTTGACTAGTAATTTTTAATTTTATTGCATTATGATCAGAAAACATGCCTGAAAACATTTCACTAAAGTTTTCTCTGTCAATCAGTATATAGGTGATTGTACCAGTCCCTGCTGGAATCCTTATACATCTGAAAATGACTTTTGTTGTTCTTTACCTGGTGTTACATTTTTGTATCATAAGGTATTCTTCTCAAAAAGATAAATGCTACTTCACCTTCTTCTGGCATTTATTGTACTTGGTAATTTCAATGTCAACCTGATTTTTTCCTTTCATGATAACATTTTTAAAATGGAAAATTTACCAGGACATTTTTAGGTATAGATCTCTATTACTAATTTTGTCTTGTTTTCAGGAGGCTTTTGAATCTGAATCCTCTAGTCTTTTCCCTTTGTGGTGGCAAACACTTCCACTAGTATTTCTTACGATTGTGCCTCCTCCTTTTATAACTTCTTTCTAAAATTATTACAATGTGTATATTTTTCATCTTCAACTGCTCTCCTCCGTTTTATGGGAGCTTTCTCTTTTTTTTTTTTTTTGAGACGGGAGTCTCGCTCTGTTGCCCAGGCTGGAGTGCAGTGGTGCGATCTCGGCTCACTGCAAGCTCCGCCTCCCGAGTTCACGCCATTCTCCTGCCTCAGCCTCCCAAGCAGCCAGGACTACAGGGGCCCGCAGCCACGCCCGGCTTTTTTTTTTTTTTTTTTTTTTTTTTTTTTGTATTTTTAGTAGAGATGGGGCTTCACCGTGTTAGCCAGGATGGTCTTGATCTCCTCACCGCGTGATCCGCCTGCCTCGGCCTCCCAAAGTGCTGGGATTACAGGCGTGAGCCACCGCGCCCAGCTAATGGGAGCTTTCTTTAGATCACTTTCATCATTGATTCAGTTCTCTGCAGGATCTAACCTTCAGGTCTTTACTTTAGTTCGATTTTTTCAATTTGATAATCACCTTATCATGTATCTGAAGGACTGATCTCAAGGGAAAGACAGGCAATAATCTTTATTCTTTCCTTTGAGAGTCACTTATTCTCAGGGGCTCATTTGCTTTGATTCCTTTGACTGCCTTCTTCTGAACTACTGAATCATTTCGAAGAACAGATAGCATTTCTGCTTCCTTTTTTTTTTTTTTCCACTGGGAGAAGTGGGAGGAGGTGATAATGTTTGAACAGCTGGCTGGAGATTGTTTGAATCTCTGTTGGAATTCATTGGGAGGTTATTTCTTCATCCAGGATGATTTCTTCCTCAAATCTGCTTCCATCCTGCTCTGCCTTACAGAAATTCTTCCCGTTTTCATGAATGTGGATGGCATCTTCCCTGATTTCCAGCACAGACCCATATTCTCTATTTTAACAATTTCTTTTCCTCTGGTGGCTTCAATTGGTATGTGCAATGTGAGCAGGAAGGCAGAGTTAGAACCTTTAGATGCAGAGAGAGGCTCAGATTACTATATTGAACCACGAATCCACTAAACAGGTACCAAAGAAAGCTCTGGTGGTAAACTGAAATATTTCATGAACCCTAGTTTACAAAGAGCAACAGAAACTTCTGTCCTCATTCCTTCCCTTAGGCGTGTTTGTGCACAAATAGTATTGTGCACATGGAGTCTTCTGTTTTACTCATTCTGTCTTCATCTCATTTTGTTTTGATTTACAGAAAGATGTAGACAAGGAGTTCTATTTGTTTCCTACAGTATTTGATGAGAATGAGAGTTTACTCCTGGAAGATAATATTAGAATGTTTACAACTGCACCTGATCAGGTGGATAAGGAAGATGAAGACTTTCAGGAATCTAATAAAATGCACTGTAAGTACTGCATCATCCACCAATCTACCAAGTTATTTTAGTACTGCATATGTAATGCTTTTAACTAAACCAAAATGTGAAGAGCTTTGCTCATTGATTATTTTTCAATAAATGATTACAATAGTGTCCTGAAGGTAATATCATTGGTTATTTGATGTGTCAATTAGTCATTATTTCACTTAATTCAAGATATGTCAATTACATGAATGGTCCTTAAAGTGTGGTCCCTATATCAGCAGCCTCAGCATCACTGAGGGACTTATTAGAAATGCAAATTCTTGGACCCCTACCCTGAACTACAAAGTCCGAAACTTTGGAGATGGATCCCGGCAATCTATTTTCAACAAACTCTGCAGGTGATTCTGATGAACGCTACAGTTTGAAAACTGCTGGAGCAGATGCTTTTCTCATGTGTGGCTCAATAATGACAGGCTCATTTGATTATTCAATATGCAGAAAGAGATGATCTCAGCCCTCAATGATTCTAACCCTTGACTGCACATTAGAATCACCTGGGAGCTTTCAAAAAATGACCAGTGCCCTGGAATACCACCAGAGATTTTTATTTAAGTCTAATATTAGATTTTTTTAATACCTAGTGTAATTCTAAAAAGTGGCTAGAGCTCAGAGACAGTGAGTTCATTATTCAAAAGGCCCACACCATTAATGGACATCAGTAAAAATTATTGTAGCTAGTAGAAGAAAAACATGTAAAGTTGTGTTACAAACTGGTATTTTCATGCTAGGTACTAGTCACGCTACCCACAACTTTTAAAATATCTCTTTTGATTCTGCATTTTTGTATATTTGGAAGCACTGAGACTATTATTCATCAAAAATAATTAAATATGCAAGATAAAGAAAAAAACCTCCTACATATGACCTTCCCTGTTATTCAAGATGAATTAGACTTTTTCATCTAGAACAGCAACACACTCCCAGTATATGGTGCACAGAAAAAGCTGTTATAATTCACAGATTTGGGTGCTCACAATTATAATCACTTAAAGAACTGGAAATGACAGAATCATTGTTTTAGCCAGGAAGAGCAGTGGGATTTCCAGGTTGCTAGGGATACTAGCATAGAACTTCAAGAACTATGCATTCAGCTCTGGTCCTTTCAGCCAGCGTCTGCTCTGGAAGTGCCAGGAACAGCAAGGAGTTGCAAGGACACTCCTGACACATAAAGCGTGGGCAGGCCTGAATAGGCCTTTTAAAAATTAAAAATTAAAAAAAAAGTTGGTCCTAGAAAGTCTGTGAGGTTGTCATGTAGTAGAATCTAAACCACTTCCAAAATGTTACTTCCCAACTTTCACAGCCATGAATGGATTCATGTATGGGAATCAGCCTGGTCTCAATATGTGCAAAGGAGATTCGGTCGTGTGGTACTTATTCAGCGCTGGAAATGAGGCCGATGTACATGGAATATACTTTTCAGGAAACACATATCTGTGGAGAGGAGAACGGAGAGACACAGTAAACCTCTTCCCTCAAACAAGTCTTACACTCCTCATGTGGCCTGACACGGAAGGTATATTTATTTAAAGCCAAGTCTCTAGTGGATGAATTTGTGTAGTTTTGGTTTAAAATTCTGTAGCAGAATGTGTTGGGTGATAAACGTATTTCTTCCCCAAGCCTCCCAAGTGCCCTTCCTATCTCTGAAAGAGCAAGTTCAGGCTACTATCAGCTGAAGTATGTACCAGATGGGTCTGTTTCGTAGTGACTGAGCAGAATGCGGAGTAAGAAAAGAACAGGGTGTGGTTTTCTCCGTTTCCACAGGCTCCTCAAGATGATCCCTTTTTAGATTGTGGTCCTTTTAAAGACAGCTGGAAAATCAGACTAGAAGGGGAATGACTCCCATAAATATTCTGCACCTAAACTTTTCATGTCTCTGTAGCCTAGATGTAGGCTGTAAGTAGAGGCTTGTTGGTTGCAAGTGAATATTCTATTCTAGCATTGTAGCCATGCAGATTCAGAGACATCTATAGACCTGGCTCTGAATGAGTAAAACAAACTAAAACAGAAGAGAAAGAATTTTAATCAAAATGTGAAAATATGCTAGCTTGTTTCAGGCTTTATTTGGTTTACGATATGCCACTGAAACTTAAGACCAATCCAGTGTCACCCTCTCCTTCCTTCAACAAATGTAAATACAACAATGAACAAAAGAGATAAGATGTCTTATGCTGCTGCAATTCTAATGCAGGGAGACAGACAAGCCAGTATATTAATACATGTATGTCAAGTCATTATAAGTACATAAAGAAAAATAAGGCAGGGGAAGGGGGTGGTGACTGAGAGGGGAAAGGGTCAAGATTCTCTCAGGAGGTGCTACTTAAGGAGAGGCCAGAATAAAATGAGGACATGAACCATGAAGATATTTTGGGGAGACAGCATAGGAAATAGCAAGTGCAAAGGTCCCAAGGCAGGCACACACTTGACCTGTTCTAAGAACAGCAAAAGGCCTTGGTGCATGGAGCAAGGTGAGCAGGAGGGGATGTAATCAGAGGTGTGGAAAGCTAGATCACCTAACTGAGGCCACAATAAGGACTTCAGCATTAATTCTGAGGAAGGTGGAGAGCCCCAGAGGGCACTAGCAAAGAAGTGACATGTTTTCTTATTTACCACTCCAGGGACTTTTAATGTTGAATGCCTTACAACTGATCATTACACAGGCGGCATGAAGCAAAAATATACTGTGAACCAATGCAGGCGGCAGTCTGAGGATTCCACCTTCTACCTGGGAGAGAGGACGTACTATATCGCAGCAGTGGAGGTGGAATGGGATTACTCCCCACAAAGGCAGTGGGAGAAGGAGCTGCATCATTTACAAGAGCGGAAGTAATTCTCCAGACTCTGATTCCCAATTTCAGCTGTAATTTTAGGTTTCCTTTTCAGAGAAGTAAGAATTACACCAAATTTTAGAGAAAAAAAAAGTTGCATTAAACAATAACAACAAAAAAACAACAACAAAACACTTCCTAGGAACTTGTCCTCATTCATTTCTGCTTCTCTCAATTTCCTCAAGGGAAAATTTCCATTTACCTCCTTTGATCCTTTGGAGTCTTGCTTTCTTTTCTGCTGCAGTGTCTTCTCACATTCATGTGCTCTCACGTGTCATTTATTTTCAAACTTAACAAAAGTTAATTCCCAAATTCAGAGCAGAAATATTATTCCCCTTAGCAACAGTTTGTTGCTTATTTTTCCTTCAGAGTTTTCATTGTTAGTCTAACAGTCATTTCACCTTCTTAAAACTGTTATGTATGGAATATTTTAAATGCTTGAAGGTGATATAGCAGATATAGTCTCTACCCTCCAAGAACTTATACAGGAAAATATGGCACAAAATTACCAGTAACATGTGCATTATGGAAAAGTACAAAATAAATTCTGTATGAATAGATGTAAGTAGAGGATGATTAATAGAGCTTCAGAAACATTAATTTAGAGCAGCATCACTCATCACTTCTAGTTAGCCCTTTCTTCATACTTTTCCAAGCACCTTCCTCTCCATCATCCCACTTACATCATGCACTGACCGCACGGCGATGTTCTGAGGGATTGGGGGGTGGGCAGGTGTTCGGATCCAGGGTGCATAGCACAACTGGTGACCTGTGGCTACCAGTGGTTACCTGGTTAGCTTCACAGCAGTAGTGAGTATGGTTTGCAGTGTAAAGGAATAAACATTTATTTTGTAATTGGGTAAAATGGTTAAAAGGCTACAGGTGCCATTAGAAGTGAAAACTTCAGGAAAAGGGAATGCCTGGGAAAATATGTCCATTTCAGTTCCTATAAATCAGAAATACTGCACTTATAACATTTTAGAGTTATAAAATAATCTTAGAGATGATCTGTTCAAATATCTCATTTTAGGGATGAAAAAACTGAGGTTCCAATAGGCAGTGACTAGCTGGAGGAAATTTTCACTAGTGGCAGGGTAGAGGCCAGGACTCAGATGACTACACTCAAATGGTTAGGTGTGCCTTCTACCACACATAAAGTCTTATTATTCTTTCTTACTTGGATAGAAGAGTGATGATTAAAAACTACTATAATTACTCTAATAAAAACTATATTTTTATTCAAAATTTAAAGTTTAAAACTTAAGTTACATTTTCATTAAGACAAATACTAACCTTAGTTTTGTTTTTTTTTTAAGTGTTTCAAATGCATTTTTAGATAAGGAAGAGTTTTACATAGGCTCGAAGTACAAGAAAGTTGTGTATCGGCAGTATACTGATAGCACGTTCCGTGTTCCAGTGGAGAGAAAAGCTGAAGAAGAACATCTGGGAATTCTAGGTATGTTAATAGCTCCAGTTTATTAGGTGTGGGTTAATGATGTGATGCTACCTGCAGTAACAGTCAATTCATATCTATGGGTTTCATTTTCTTGGTTCATATATCAAAGTTGTTCAAATAAAAATTTAAAACTTAGTTATCTAAAAAAATAAGACCTAAGTTTATTAAATAACATGGCATACTAAAATATTGCTTATTTCTCTTAGAAACAATGTATTATCCCATATACTGATAAAATTATATATATTTTGTTTTTATCGAATTGATGCCTGTAGTTTTAGTGAAGTTCCCAGAAACTATTTTCTAATGAAATTCTGTATTTTGACAGAGTCTTGCTCTGTCGCCCAAGACGGAGTGCAGTGGCGTGATCTCAGCTCACTGCAACCTGCCGCTCCTGGGCTCGAGTGAGTCTCCCACCTCAGCCTCCCAAGTAGCTGGGACTACAGGGATGAGTCAGCACGTCTGGCTAATTTTTAAATTTTTAGTTGAAACGAGGTTTCGCCATGTTGGCCACGCTGGTCTCGAACTCCAGGCCTCAAGTGATCCACACACCTCAGCCTCCCAAAGTGCCGGGATTACAGGCATGAGGCACTACACCTGGCCCTAATGAAATTCTTAACCAAAGTCTCCCCATCATCCTACCCATTTCTCGCAAATTATAGCTATTTACTTTTAAAATTAAAATATAAATGATTAATTACAAGAAGAAATATACAAAAGGAAATTAATTACAATAGGAAATAAAGAAAAGAAAAAATGGTACCACACACTGCACAAAGCAGAGCAAAAGCTGCTTTCAATTTCTTAGGATTCACTTTCAGACAGAATGTCTAGAACTCGAGCAACACTGGTCTTGAGACATTTCTTTAAAACTATCAATTGCAGGGATCCCCACTCCTATCCCCACCCGACTGTGTTCCCATACGGTCAGCATTCCCCTGAGGTTTGGTTATCCTCAACCCCTATGCTAAGACACCAAGGCAAAATGGCATTGTTCCTGGAGCACAAAAATTCTACCAGACAAGAGACAAGCTAAGATTTGATAAAGGGTAGAAATGGGAGGGGTATCCCCACACCAAGGGCTGCAAAATGACTCCTGGCCAGATATCCAACCCACCATGATTAGACCAGTACTCTGTAAAGGACTTTCAGGCCAAACCGCCCCTAGAACTCTTAAGAGATAAACAAATGGTCTCCATCTTTATTTCCAGTGTGTTGATTCCAAATTCCCTGGGGTGAGGTATAAATCCAAGAGTATTACAGCACAAACCCATGGGGAGAGAAACAAGTTATCTTTGCTGATCTTTGCTTTTATTACTTAGACCTTCTGCTTGGACAGATATACAAGCCACTTTTCCTTTTCACTTTTGCCAGGTCCACAACTTCATGCAGATGTTGGAGACAAAGTCAAAATTATCTTTAAAAACATGGCCACAAGGCCCTACTCAATACATGCCCATGGGGTACAAACAGAGAGTTCTACAGTTATTCCAACATTACCAGGTACTCATGGTGCAGAGTTGGGGGGGGGCATTTTAACAGGGGTATACAGCCTTTCCACAAATGACTTTCATCATAGAGAGTCTGGACCAAGAAAGTGAAAAGGGAGGTAGTTGTGAAGAGGGGATGCAAGGAGGTATCTGTGTGTATGCAAGTACATGCACATGTTCATACTAAAAAAAAGTCCACAGGAGAGCTTAAGAGAAAAACCCAAAGGTAGTGGACATCTATGAATCCTCAAGGGTGAATCAGAGAGATGCTGTCTCCTCGCTCAGCTAGATAGAACACAGCTCAAAGGACATCTACCACACTGCATGTGGCTGGATGTTCCCACGCCTGCCTCCAGCACATGTGGTTCTAAGGGCCAGAGGCCGCCACTTGGAACTCTAAATTCCCCCTATCTAGTCCAGTATCTGGCATGTATTAGGGGATCATCAAATGTTTCTTTAATAAACACAGAGTAAAATCTTAAACAGATTATATACATAGGTGAGCATTTTCTTTAACAAAAACCATATTTTTCTTCTATTAGTTATAAAGTTGGCTTCCAGGAAAAGACTATTTCTCAATAACTTACCAGGGAGTAGCAAGGGTGCTCTTTTAGGTAGAGTGGTCAGGAGGGCTTCCTTGAGGAGGTGGCATTGTTGAAAACACCTAAAGATTGAGAAGTAATGAAATTCAGGTAATTGTGCACAAAGAGATTCTAGGACCCTGAAGATAGGAGCATGCCTGGTGTGTTTGAGCAGCAGCAAGGCAACCAGAGGATAGAGAAGTGCACACAAGGGACAGAATGCTAGAGATGAGATCCAGGGAGAGTTGGAACCAGATGGGAGTAGGGAGGACCTCAGACTTGAGATTGAAGACTGATATTCTGATGGACACTTTTTAAGGGGCTGTTCCGGCTGATGTGTGGTTAAGTGACCATAAGGGGGAAGGACAGAATCTGGGGTCAGTTAAGGACCATTGCAATAATCTGGGTAAAATAATAATAATAATATCATCATCATCATCATCGAGATTTGGAACATGGTGGAAGCAGCTGAAGTGGTGAGATGTTATCATATTCTGGTTCTATTTTAAAGGTGGTGCTAAAAGGACCTGCTGGAAAATGGGCACTAGGGAGTGTTGTAGAAGAGAGGAGTCAAGCATGATCCCAAAGTTTTGGGCATTGACCACTGGTAGAAGAGCAGGTTGTAAAGGGGTGTGGAAAAGAGAAGGGAATGTTATTTTGTAGCTTATAAGTAAAAGCAGAGATGGCAAGAAAGTAATATGTGCAGGTGGTGAATACTTTATATTCTAGTGAAATTTTCTGCTTAGAAAAAGGGTGAGGACGTAGGAACAGCTCAGATTGAGGCTTGAAGAAAAAGTAAGATGTCTACCACATCACTTGAGACCATCTCTGTCATCTTGCTTGATCCTCTAGTGAATGTCTGTCAGACTCTGGCAGGTTAGTGTGAGAGCATGAAGATGTAATGGTGTGGTCTAAATAAATGGGATGGAAAATGAGTGTGGCTGGGATTGGTGAGTGGGCATGGCCAAAAGCCGAGGTCTGTGAGCAGTTGCACAGGAAGCCCTGAAGTGACTGGAAACGCAGATCAGACTGGAGAAAAGCCCAGAGCACATGGGAAGAGGGTAAGAGCCTTGGCAAAGTAGGAGGGTGAAGCAACTAGTCGTCTTCAAAGTGCCAAGGCCCAGGGTGTGGTTATGTCCTGTATGTGGGAGTAGTGACAAAACAGCCCATGGTGTGATCGAATTAGAGGGACCGGAGGGGAGGTAAACAAAACTGTGGCAAGTCGGTGACTCATGAGATCAAGAGGTCTAATGGCTCCTTGCCAGGAATCATGAGCTCACTAAGGATGATCATGAGAGAGGACAAGGAAAGGAAGACCATGCTGAAGCTGAGGGAATTACACAACATAGTCCAGATACACACATGCAGAGATTATTACGGGAAAGGTGCCAGCCACTGGGGAAGAATCACTTGGTATCTGAAGAGAAAAAAGTATGTTAGGAAAACATACTTCAAGCTAAGAAGAGATTGGTTGCAAAGTTTTTTCAAATTGTAATATTGGAAGTGCACCTCCTAGCTTTGTGGTATGGCAAGTGGGTTATAGCTAATTTATATTAACCCAAAAAATGACAAAATGTTGTCTTAGTTTGTCTTAAAACTAAATTCCTGAAAAGAATCTTGAGTACCACAATTTTTAAAAACTAATTACACTGACATTTCCAGTTCCTGGGTCCTAGTTATCCAGGCTGTGTGCGTGTGTGTGTGTGTGTGTGTGTGTGTGTGTAATATAAACCAAAACAACCAGATCCATTAACACTTGATGAATTTAGGTGAAACTCTCACTTACGTATGGAAAATCCCAGAAAGATCTGGAGCTGGAACAGAGGATTCTGCTTGTATTCCATGGGCTTACTATTCAACTGTGGATCAAGTTAAGGTAAAATGTAAATCATTTGTTTGGTGACACTTCCCAAAATAGACACACAATTGAAGGAAGATGAGGTTAGCATTTTCCTGTGGTCCAATTATATGTTAAAATCCTAGGAAAATAAGCTGTTTTGCAATCTGCTTTGGCAAATATGCTGCTACCTATGACACACAAGACAAAAATCTAACATTTCCTAATATGATACAGCTCAAAGGCCTTTCAAGATTATATTCGGGAAGTTTCGATATTGTCTTGTGGGTCACAGGTAACCACTGAAAAATTGACAAAGAATGGCAGTATATTTGCATTTCAGATCATTCATTCTGGTAGATGAAGGAAGGCTTGGAGAGGGAAGAGACGGGAGGTTGGGAGGCCGTTGTAATACATGAGGCAAATTTCAAGGACCTCTACTGTGAGAAGGGAGAAAAGAAACGGAGTGAGTTATAGATAGGTGGGTGAAGTGCCTGAGTGAGCCAGGGGGAAGTAGCTCCTTGATAATTCAGAGTTCTGGCTCAAACAAATGAGTAAATCTGGTATTTGTGGTGCTATTTATTATTATACATTTCATTCATCTATGAATTTTTTAGGGACTGCCATAGTGCTTGGCTCATACTCAAGAGTTCATGAGTTTACAGAACAAACCAACACTGTTCATTTGGGATTCTTTTAAAATCACTGCTCATTAGCTGAGCTAATTTTTGCCTCTGCAGACATTCTGTTATGTCAGCATCACCACATGACCTACTGACTACTCACCGTTGTTCCAATTTAACTACTTCAAGTGAAAAGTTACTAAATTGGCAATACCACATTGGGCAAAGTCTACTTCAATCAGTCTCTCCAAAATTCCTGAGGCCGTGGGTGTAAAGTCTCAGTTCTCTGAAATCCTGACCTACATCACAAGGGTTACTGAAGATTTTCCTCATTTCCAGGATCTCTACAGTGGATTAATTGGCCCCCTGATTGTTTGTCGAAGACATTACTTGAAAGTATTCAATCCCAGAAAGAAACTGGAATTTGCCCTTCTGTTTCTAGTTTTTGATGAGAATGAATCTTGGTACTTAGATGACAACATCAAAACATACTCTGATCACCCTGAAAAAGTAAACAAAGATGATGAGGAATTCATAGAAAGCAATAAAATGCATGGTATGTTACATTATTCTAAAAGAATTTTTCTTTTTTTATCATTTTCTCTTTCAAATAAAATTATTTTGGAGACTATTCATTTGTTTTGTCTTAAAATAAACCACTTCTGCCTCACTTTGTATGTGAGGTAGAATTCTGTTCACAACAAAAAGGGGATTATGCTCAAAATCTTTTGCTAATTTATTTTCCAATTCCAAAATCTCATTTCCTTTGAAATAATCCACAATTAAGATTAAGACTTTTGGTGCAAAGTGCCTAGAAAAGCAGTGTATGATATTATTCACTTTAAAGTATCGATTTCCCTCATTTGTAGTAAAATAAGTCCTATTACATCAAAAAGATTCTTTACATTAAGCTAATGATCGTATTTTCTTTGAAATAGCCATTGGTTTAAAATATCCTGAAAAGTAACATAAAACCATATGCTTTCCCTAGCTATTAATGGAAGAATGTTTGGAAACCTACAAGGCCTCACAATGCACGTGGGAGATGAAGTCAACTGGTATCTGATGGGAATGGGCAATGAAATAGACTTACACACTGTACATTTTCACGGCCATAGTTTCCAATACAAGGTAAGAGCTATCCACGGCAATTACTCTTGCTGTTTGAAAATGTTTTAATACAAGTGAAGAAAACATTTCCTCAGAGAGACTTATGAAAAATTAAAAGCTGCAAAGAGTATAGCTGGTGCTTCATATCTGTGGATTCCCCATCCAGGATTCAATCATGGATTGAAAATATTTAGGAAAAAATAATTCTGCAAAGTTCCAAAAAGCAAAACTTGAATTTGCTGCACTGAGTACTATGTTGAATCCATGGAAATGAAATGATTTGTAGGCATTGTATTAGGTATTATAATAATCTAGAGATGATTTAAAGTATATGGAAGGATGTGCGTAAGTTATATGGAAAATGCCATTTGCTATAAGGGATTTGAGCATCCATGGACTTTGGTAAGGGGGCATTCCTGAAACCAATCCTCCACGGATACTGAGGGATGACTATATAAGGCACAGCAATTTCAACGGACACACCAGCCTTTGTTACACCTTGAGCTCTTCCTGGGATTTTTAACTGAATTTTCTGCTCACAGAGTCCTGATTAAGGCAACTGAGTGGAATTGCTAACAAAGAGGGTAGGAATGTTCACATAATGATAGATGAGAGTAGAGACCACAAGACTTTATTATAACCCTTTCCCTGCCTGTTCTAAGTTCTGTATCTTAAATGGTTCGAGGTGAGCAAGATTAGTTAGGTGACAAGCAACTTGGTCTGTACATCTCAGTCTTCTGTTCTTTCTCAGTACTGATTTCAGCAGAAGCCAGTGGCCCTCCAGGAAATGCTTTTTCCTTATGCTTTGGGCTAATTTAGAAAATGCAGAAGTTATCAAAAAGCATACTGCAGAAAGCCTGTTTTGTTATCTGCATTTTGTTTTACATAGATACATTGTATTCTTAGTGGGCTTGCAATTCTATCCTTGTAGAAATAGACTATTAGCACCCAACTATTGTTTCCAGTTGAGACTCCCTGAAGTGCCTCTGGTTTTTGTCTTTTTCATCAGCATCCTTTTCTGCTTCCTTTATTATTTACCTTGACTTAAAGCTTCACAGACAAGCTAGGATAGATTTGGCAAAAGTGAGGCTAGGGCTGAAATGGGGCCACAGCTGAGTTCCTTTTGTGTAGCTTAAGTGCTATGACAAACGGGCAAACCAGAATCAAGGTACAGGAGGTTTGTGGGTAGTCCTGATTGATGAATTCATTCTCATCACATCTTCACACCCACTAGATGTGGGTATCAAAGACTTAGTAGGAAGACAAAAAACACATTTTACCGTTTGTATTAAACACAGAAACGAGCTCAATTTTTTAAAAACAGATTTATCAATTTTTTCAATATCCTTGAGCTGACCATTAACAAATGACATGAGTGAACTCTCATATACAATATTATACATTATTTGTCATTTTTCTAATTAAGCACAGGGGCATTTATAGTTCTGATGTCTTTGACATTTTCCCTGGAACATACCAAACCCTAGAAATGTTTCCAAGAGCACCTGGAATCTGGTTACTCCACTGCCATGTGACCGACCACATTCATGCTGGAATGGAAACCACTTACACAGTTCTACAAAATGAAGGTGAATATCCAGGTAGTAATTCTCGAAGCCATATGTAAAAGATATAATTAAAGGAACTACTTTCCTAAATACTTCCCCCAATATGAAGCATCAATATGAAGCATTTGTGAATCTGCTGCCCTGATTTCTTCCTTCTCTACCTCCAAATAGGTTTTTTTCCTGCTAAATGGTGAGGGATACTGCTCATTTCCTGACAGCCAGTGCTTGTAACAGCACCAGTCATTTCTAAGTTAATACAAATGTGTAATTACACCTAAAGCTGATATAAGGGAGGAGTCATGTTATTTACCAAGAAACAAACCACTATTTACATAAGACACATTTAAAATCTAATTTCTTTCTTAATAAAAAACAATTTTTTTTCTAGGTGGCACCTCCATGTAAAAGAAGCCCAAGACAATCCCAAATAATATAATTTCAAATAGGCAGTGTCTTTCTGTGCTTCCAAGGGAAAGGAGGAACCTTACTGATTATTGTTTGTGAAAGATCCAGGGAAGAAACAAACATGCACTGCTCCCCAACCCCTGCAATAACCCTCCCCATGTGTAGGTACACACACACACATAACTTAAAATGGAGAAAAATGAACAGTTTCTTTTCGTAGGATTCCTGCACTGTGGCTGCAGGTTTTGGTCTTTCCTGGGTCTTTTGAGTTGAAGATTGTTGTAATTGGAAATGCTAAACCCAAAAGGAGGAAATTATGTAAAGAAAACCAATCTATGCCTTTCCTCCCTAAAATGGGGAAAAAAGGGAACATACAAATGAAGAAAATATAAATGTAAATATATTTCAAGATTTAAAAAGCTCTGAAAGGTTAACCTTTAGTGTAAATGAAAAGTTTTAATTTCTACTCCTGGGTCTTACACTAACAACTTATATCATGAAAAACTATTTACATTAATGCCCTTTTTATTAGAGCAGTCACTGATAACACTAGAATATCAAAGACTCTAACAGACAAGCCACTAAATTTAATGCCAATAACTTGAACAAGGTGAAGAGAGCCAAATATGATGAGAAAGAAAACTTTAGTCTTTAAATAACACTAGTAAACCATGTGGTTACATGTGGTTGCATGTAAACCACACAAAAGGATGATCTTGCTCAGAAAAATAATGGTGAGTAAGTAACATGGAGGCATTTGGGGAACTTGTGTGCAAATAAATGCCTGGCATGCAGAGTATGGTACTACAGGGCAACCCTACACACACAGCCACAGAGAAGATTCCTCCTGTGTATAACAACTGTGAAAGAGGGAGATTACTGCTTGGTTAAGAAAGTCGAGATAGTTTTTAAAGCCATAGGACAAATTACAGAAAAAATAGCAAATATGAAGGAAAAATCAACACTGGATAAAGAATTAAAGAGAAATTTGACTTTTGCAAAGAGAAAAAGTATTGCATGAGACTGAAAGCAGCAGACTGAATAAAAAAAGATAGTTTGAACTATCTTTGGCCCATAAAATCAGTAGCTAAGTTTATCAGTCTGAATCATCTTTAAATAAGTCCAATAAAGCTTTGAGCAAGTTTACATTAATTATGAGTCTTAGAAAAGTCTGCTTAGCTTTAAATTTCTTACAGGCAGGGACTATGTATTCTGTATTTCTAGCTAAGTATCCAAATCCAATACAATAGTTTGCTTATTGAATATATAACAACGTATTAATTCAATGAAGAGAAACTTTTAAAACTTTTTTTTGACATAATTTCAGATTCCCATATACCTTTCACCCAGATTCCCTGAATATTAATGATTTGTGTAGCCAAATTGGCTTTCTCATTCTTTTTCGTCTCCCTCTTATGCTCACCCTCTGTTTGTACACACACAGATGTGTATAGACACATACAACTATCTTTCCTAAAAACAAGAATATTCTTGTACATGACCACAATACAATGATCAAAATCAGAAAAGTAACAATGATTTAAAAACTAGAGATCTTCTTCCAACGTCACTAATAATCCTACTCATGTTCTTTATAGAAAAAGAAAATCCCGGATCATGTACTGCATTGTTGGCATATCTTTTAAGTCTCCCTTACTCTGAATAGTTCCTTAATACAGGGCAGCAACTTTGTAGAATGTCCTTCAATTTGAGTTTATCTAATGTTTCCTCATGATTAGATTTAGGTTATGTACTTTTGGCAAGACTATCATGGCATGATGTTGTGTTTTCTTAGTATACCATATCAGGAGGCACAAGATATTGATCGGTTCCATTACTCATTAACTTCAAGCTTTGGTTAAGGTGGTGTCTGCCAGGTGTCTCCATTGTAAAGTTATTCATCTTCCCTCTACAATTAATAAAGATCTTGTAGGGAGGAAAGTAATCTTTCTTTAAATAAATCAGCAATGGAATGAGAGATTTTTAAACATATAAAAAATAGAAAAAATACATGAATCAGGAATAAAGTAACATTAAAAAATCAGAATACATTTAAAGAACCATCTACTAATTTTTTAACCATATTATTATTTTTAATAATGGTCTTAAAATTTCTTTTTCTATAGACACCAAGTCTGGCTGAATGAAATAAATTGGTGATAAGTGGAAAAAAGAGAAAAACCAATGATTCATAACAATGTATGTGAAAGTGTAAAATAGACTGTTACTTTGGAATGACTATAAACATTAAAAGAAGACTGAAAACATACAACTTTGTGCATTTGTGGGGGAAAGCTATTAATTTTTTGCAAATGGAAAGATCAACAGACTATATAATGATACATGACTGACACTTGTACATTAGGTAATAAAATGGATTCATATAGTCTAATCATATCACCACTATTAGGGTTGTATAAAACTGCATTTAAAAAAAGATCTATGACCAGATATTCTCCTGGGTGCTCCTCAAAGGAACACTATTAAGGTTCATTGAAATGTTTTCAATCATTGCCTTCCCATTGATCCTTCTAACATGCCATTGACATGATACCTAATATTCAGAGGGAATGGACAAGGTATGAGGGAAAGAAATAAAAATAAAATAAATAAAATAGAATGACGCAAATCTGAGTTTTGTGAACCCTTAAAGAGAAGGTCTAAAGGACGTTAACTGGAACGTCCAACTCTGAAAAGTAGAGTTGAGAGACAATTCTATAGATCAAATCCTGGTAAGGATAAACATTGCCATTTTAGAAGAAAAGCTTCAAAATACACCTGTAGCAGATGTCACGTGAGTAGAATTTCTGCCCAACCTTAATTGCATTCAGAGGATAATATCAATGAACTAAACTTGAACTAAAAATTTTTTAAACAAGAAATTATAAATAAAGACACATGGTTGTGAATACAATGATATATTTCTTTATTTTCACATACACTCTAGCTAAAACAGCAAGAGTACACATCAACAAAAAATGGAAACAAGGCTTTGGCTGAAAAAAAACATGCATTTGACAAATAATGTTAATAGCTAGACAAGAACAAAGTTAGCTCTGTAAACTTCTTCATTTGATTCAGAGAAACAGAGCATGAGTTTTCTTAAAGTAACAAGAAAAGGAACAAAAAAAATGAGGTTTGAAATTTTTTACCATGGCAAAACATTAACATCTTTCTCAAAAACATAGAGAAATCTGGAAAAATCAAGAATATAAAATTCTGGACCAGTTAGTGACATTCTTTCAAGCATACTTGCAAAATGTTTCCTTAAAGTGTTCTTGGGATGAAAATGATTGTCATGTCTCCAACAGCAGCGAACTGATGTTGTTCCTTGGAATAAAAGTCAATCCCCACCTTAAAAAATATATGGCTTCTCTGAGGAATTCTTATGTCTTAAACACTTTTTACATTCTAGACAATTAAATTGATTGAGGTCATAAGTTAAGAAATGAATAGTTACCACTACATGGTAAGGTAAGCAGCCTGAAAACATCTGCATCATAAATGTGTGTGTGTGTGATATATATAAAGTAAAAAACTCCTCTACTTGTACTTTGGCATTCAATTTTTAGAAATTCAGTCTCAAATGCCATTATGGTATTTTTCAAATGATACCTTTAAGTCAATGATTTCTTTCGACTGCAATAGAGAAGATATGGCAAGAAAAATGCTGCAGTACCATCTTCTGGGAGAACATTCATGAAATCCTTCAGTTCTAGTTCCACAGCAACAATTGACAATGTTTCTGTTTGTAGAAAAGAATATCTGAATTAGAACTGAAACTCTGTCTTTCATTCAATCTATTCTTACTTAACCAACCAATTAGAAGCCAGTTCAGGCTGGGCGTGGTGGTTCATGCCTGTAATCCCAGCATGGGAGCCCGAGGTGGGTGGATCATGAGGTCAGGAGTTCGAGACCAGCCTGGCCAACATGGTGAATCCCTGTCTCTACTAAAAATACAAAAAAATTAGCTGGGCATGGTGGCACACATCTGTAATCCTAGCTACTGAGGAGGCTGAGGCAGGAGAACTGCTTGAACCCATGAGGCAGAAGTTGCAGTGAGCTGAGTGCCACTGCACTCCAGCCTGGGTGACAGAGCAAGACACATCTCAGGGAGGAAAAAAAAAAAAAATAGAAGCTAGTTCAGGTAACAAAATGTTATAACTTCAAAGAAAAAAATCAATCTCTTAAATCCATAGGTTTCTTTATGGTTGTAACTTATTTTTCCTTATTAGAATCCTTTGAAGTTTATTTTATATCAGCCACATGAAATTTGGATTTATTATTTCATTGCTGAATTACTATATTATTTTGCAATTGATTTCTACTGTCCTCTAAAGAAAAGTACAATCATTTAAATACTTTTTTTAATGCTAAGTCTATACTAAAGCTAATTTATAAAGATTGTTTGATAGGATAAAAAACACCAATGTTTTCCCAAATTAGTTCCTATTGTAACATTTCATGTTGTTAATAAGCACAAATCTGTTTTCATGACCATTTACTTCTTTTTCCCCAAACTGCAACGGTGTTCTAATGAACATTTTTTTTTTTTTTTTTTTTTTTTGAGATGGAGTCTCGCTCTGTCACCAGGCTGGAGTGCAGTGGCACGCTCAGCTCACTGCAACCTCTGCCTCCTAGGTCCAAGAGATTCTCCTGCCTCAGCCTCCCGAGTAGCCGGGACTAAAGGTGTGCACCGCCACGCCCAGTTAATTTTTGTATTTTTAGTAGAGACGGGTTTTCACCATGTTGGCCAGGATGCTCTCAATCTCTTGACCTCATGATCTGCCCACCTTGGCCTCCCAAAGTGCTGGGATTACAGGCATAAGTCACTGTGCCCAGCCCCAATGAACATTTTTAATATTAAGGAATGTAACATACATTTAAAAAAATGCAACTTTATGATTCTCCTGCTTCTTAATAGATACATGCTGCCCTCTCCTGGAATAGAAGGGTGAAAGTTATGAACAATGTTCCCAATAAACACCCACTTGGTCTTACATCTTCTATCCACATGTCAGTGCCATTCCCTGTGTGATCGTTGCATGCCTGTCACTTCCTCTATTTGTAGAGTAAGTGAAATATAAGATCCATTCCAAAGTCATCTGTCCAATATGCAGCCAGCTAAATTTTTCTTTACACAAAAGAATGAACTGCCTTTGTTGCTAAATAGTTAATGAATAAAGCAGCAATGGTTTATAGAAAAGACTCCTAGTTCTGGAATCCAGAGAGACTTGGGAAGAGATCTAGACTCTTCCACCTACTCACTGAGTGGCTTTAAGAAAGTCACTTCATCTCCCAAGTCCTAGGTTCCTCATTTATAATGTAGTTGTACTGTCTGCTAGCTTCCACAGTTCCTGTGAAAATTCAGCTAAAATGCAATGATGCACATCTGACATAAAATCAGACCTTAATAAACAGCAACTACTAACTAGCTTGCAAAATGTATGTGAAAAATATGAATTATTGATGTTTTCCTATCAAAGCAGTTTACTTACCTAAATGTGGAACCTGTAGGTAGTATCTCAGAAACAAAAAAATTAAGTTGGAGAGCTAGTGTGGAGTTGCTATAGAGTCAACAAAAATATCACCACTTCCCAATTCTCCTCTTCTCCCAGATAAGGAGGGGATAATATAGGTTATCACTCCAAGAACAAGGTCAATATCTTAAATTCATAGAGTACTTTAAAAATTAATAAAATACTTTCATATATAACTTCTCTTTAATTCCTTCTAGAATCCTTTGAGGTTTTTATTTATTTAATCCAAGCCCCATCCCAAACAGGGTTAACTAATGGATATTATCCCTGATTTAGAGTTGGGAAAACTGAGGTTAAGAGAAGGTTAAAATTACTTGCTCTACTCCACTCACCAGCTACCTAAATCTACAAGTCACATATAAATGATCTATCTAAATGTAAACCTGTGCCCTTAAAATCTTTCTCCAGCATGTCTAGAAAATATCTGTCAAAGGTTGAAAATAGTTACTTCTGGATGATGGATTTTAAATTATTTTTATTTTTAATGTTTGTAATTTACTACAGTACCAGAATTTAAAAAAATAAACATGACTCATTACAAAAACAGTACTGAATATTTCCTTAAAACAAACAACCAATCCACTAACCCCTGTTTTAATGGTTCTGCATTAGTGTGGTAGCTGTCAACCAGAAAAATTTTGCCCCACAGGGGACATATGGCAACATCTGGAGACATATTTGCTTGTTATAACTAGGGCAGTAGTATTGACATCTAATTAGTAGAGACCAGGGATACTGTTTAATATCCTAAAATGCACAGGGGAAACCCCCACGCACAAGGACAATTATCTTGTCCAAAATGTCAACAGTGCCAAGGTTGAGAAATGCTGTATTACAGAGATAAGAAATCCAAACTCCTAAGCATGTAAGTCCCTGAGCTCCATCTCCAACCTCACCCTCTTGCAATTTTGCCTAACATTTAACTTTTGATTCAGTCCTGAACTTCTCATTTAGTTTCACGACACTAGAAAACTGGCTTGCTCTAGGACACTTCTAAGTAGCACACCTAGAACTCAGTTCCAATTCTCCAGATCCCAATACAGGGCTATTCTCAGTGTACAAGTGTTAAGAAAACACCCTTCTGTGAAACAAACGTAAAGTTCTTTAGCTGTCTCCGTTTCTAATCAATGAACAGTTACAGAATGCTTCCTATAGGAGAGGCATATTGCTGGTGAGGAAAGTATAACCATGAAAAATGAATAAAACACTATGCCAGTCCTTGAGGTATTACAGTCTAATAAAGGTAAATCACACATGGCACTTAGTCTCATTAGCAATACACACACACACACACACACACACACACACGTATGCACACAAATGTATTCTGAAGACAGAGAAAAATGCAACATTTGGAGGAATGATTATGGGTGAGTTGGGGTGGAGTGTGTGGATGTGGATCAGAAAAGGATGAAGAGTCTTCTGATTAAGATAATGATGATGCTGAGATGTAAAGATGCGGGATGTCTGTACTGGAAAGTGCTCCACCAACACAAACAGTCAGTAATAAATTATGTAAAGGGTATGCAAGTAGGGCAAAGCAATCAGACACCTGACACTTCCATCTTCTGAAAACCTAAAGCAATCAGGGAGATGGGTAGGACTGAGAATAAAGTCACCCCTTTCCCTTCCCAATCACAAGCATACAGCTTTAATTAAAGGGGGATCTTCAGAAAAATAATCTCCAATGGCCACTGCCTCGGCCTTACATTTTAAAAATCAACTGTCTTGGCTAGAAAACACAATTTCAACACTGTCAATTTCTAATATTTTATGTGCTCTGCAATCGATACACCCATACCCTTTGTCATCAGGAAAGCAATTAACTAATTATATTAATGCACAGCAGTATAGAAATGGATTACATATCTATCAAGATTTATGATTACGAATTATGAAAATTCCAATAACTACTATGCTATAAAATACTGTACAATCTACTCAACTTTTAAATCCTTGAGGTTGTTATTCATGAATACTTGCTTAAAATTATGTTTAACAGTAATGATCTTAACTTCCTACATGAAGTAAATTAAGTACTCTGATCATTGATAAAAGATGTAATTGCCTTAATGACTACTCACATTTTAAAACATTGATGCTGTCATTTTCTATGACTGTGATCATTTGTTAAGTGTTTGAAAGGATTAAGTTAAAAGAACATAGTTCTGTGACTAGGAGATAAATGAATATCAAATGTCAAAGGGAGGGTATGTGAATGCTGAAAACAAGCTCCCCAGACGGTTCTGAAAGGCCCTCAGTCTCACTTGAGAATCACATGAAAATACTTGAGAAAGACGGCTTCACCAAATTTAAAACTGAGACGCTTAAGTTTATAATCAAGCAAAAAAAAAAAAAATCATTTTACCTTTTAATGATGACAGGTAGAGCTGATACTTCTCTCCACCACATTTTATTCTCCGACAAAGTTCAGGTAGCAGTTTTTTCCACCACAGAGTCTATCTTAGGAAAAAATGAATAAATTTTAGTTTGATGCATTTTATTCTCAGATTTCAAACAAGAATAAGAAGATTGTGCAGGAAAGCACAGGGCAAAAATACATCATTTTGTCTAAGGCTTTGTTATAAACTTTGTTATAACAGAAGTTATATCAGCAGCCAGTCTTTTGCCTTAACTATAACATAAAAGTCAGATTGAAACTTGAAAACCCAGTAATATATATGTTGTACATATGTACATGGCTATTTTCAAGAAGTAACAGACATATCCCGTTATCATCTCTTATGTGGCAAGAAGGAAGGAATGAAGAAAAAAAAGAACTAAGGTCCAAAATTATTCTAATTTCTAAACTAAAAACCGTATGGCAGAGAAAATATTTTCCCATCATACACTGTTCCTAAATCTTCAGGTAATCAACTATTTCATCTTCAAACAAAAGATTTTTAATGATTATAATATACCATCTCATATATATAACAGCATTTAATAGTACTCAAAACACATAACATTATTTAACATATATGCTCACTGGACCCACACAGCCCTGAGGCTGGATTAGCATAAATTGTCCCCATTTTGCAGAAAAGGAAATGAGGTTATCAAATCTGATTATCACTGATCAAGCCTAAAAACATAATCTGAAAAAGCATACCCGGTTCTCTTCTTTCAGTTCATGATTAGCATATGGAATGACTGCCTCTGGGCATCTCTCTAACAGTATGTCTATGCACTGTTCATACTCTTTCAAGCGTGTACGACACAGAACATGGACACTAAGGCCGGCAATAGTGTCTTCTGAAAGCGGCTCCAAGAACGGAATAATGGAAGCTATGTCAAATGAAGGACCACATATAAGAGACTATGAACAGAAAAGTGAAATGTTATGAAATGAGGCACCTCAAAAACTAAAACACAACATACAGAATTTAGTTTCTTAAGACTAAACACTCACTTGCCAAAAGTAAAATAGAAAGAATGCCATATTAGAGTACATGCATGTGGTCCTTATTTACTAAATCTAAGTAGTATAATCTTGAAACTACCTCTAGTTTAAAGATCTGTTTAATAGAAAGCAATCACTGTTAAATAACATTATTTTATTTGCTTTGTGTAGACTACAAATTAAAACCAATGGACATTCTTCAGGACTCTATCCTAAGGGAATAATCAACATTGTGGTTAAAGATCTATGTCCAATGATGTTCACCGCAAGAGTATTCACAATATTGAAAATTTGTAAATAAATCTACATGTTTAACAACAAAGGATAAGTAAACACATATGGCACACTCAGATAATGGAACATTACACAGCCATCAAAACTATGTTTTCAAAGGCTAGTTAATAAAAAAAATGCTTATGATAAAATGAGTAAAAAAATTTCAAAATGAAATTATATTCTGAACATGATCAGTTTTATAAAATCTACATAGGTAAATGCACATACAGAAATACTGTTGGAAGCGCATGGCAATTTGAAACAGCACACAGGATGGGACAACAAAGCCTACTCTTTGTTTTCTTTACATCCCTGCCTGCCATTTTCCAAATTTTCTATAATAAGCATGTGCTACATACATATGCAAAAATACAATTTAACACTTAATAAGACTAAAGCGATTGTTTAGAACTAATCATTGTTATCAATACCACTTTGTCACAAGATGAATAACAGCGGGCTGTATTATCTCGGAATTTACAACTTTACCAACATTTACTTTAAGCAATTAAACTATATATACTACTTTTGATTCTACCACCAAAATAATCTCCATTTTCCCTTTCTCCAGGATAAAGATGAGATGGTTATATCCTAATTTTCTTGTCCCTGCCTCCTTTTTGCTACAGCATCTTCTGAGGCTCACAGGAGAATATGGAATGTGATCTATCCAATCACAGTCAGTGTGATGATTTTATTCCAAATATCTACCAAGGAATGACCAGGAGAATAAGGTTGGTCCCTTTTCTTCCTGAAAGTTTAATAAATTATTCATGTGAATAATTTCCTGACAATCAGATGGCAGAGATGAAATAAGGTTGATAATCTCTCACTCAAAGGGTCTCCCAACATGGAAGAAAAGAGATTATCTCTCTATTTAACTCTTGACTAATCCAGATAATGGGGAAGGGAGTGGGGGCAGTACGAAGGAGCAAGGCACGTGTACCAAATTATGACTAAAATAAAACTAGTCGTAACTTCAACTACCCATGAACTTTTACTTAGTTTTATCCATGTCATCAGGAAGTTTGAAAATAAGGCCAGGTGCAGTGGCTCACACCTGTAATCCCAGAACTTTGGGAAGCCGAGATGGAAGGATCGCTTGAGCCCAGGAGTTCGAGGTTACAGTGAGCCACGACTGCCACTGCACTCTTTTTTTTTTTTTTTTTTTGAGACGGAGTCTCGCTCTGTTGCCCAGGCTGGAGTGCAGTGGCGCAATCTCAGCTCACTGCAAGCTCCGCCTCCCGGGTTCACGCCATTCTCCTGCCTCAGCCTCCCAAGTAGCTGGGACTACAGGCGCCCGCCACCTCGCCCAGCTAATTTTTTCTGTTTTTAGTAGAGACGGGGTTTCACCATGGTCTCGATCTCCTGACCTTGTGATCCGCCCGCCTCGGTCTCCCAAAGTGCTGGGATTATAGGCGTGAGCCACCGCGCCCGGCCATGCCACTGCACTCTAATCTGGGCAATAGAGTGAGACTCTGTATCTTAAAAAAAAAAAAAAAAATTATAAAAGTTTAGGCAGATTATGTTTCTCCTTCAACAGCAAAGATTTTGCTATTTAATAGCAAAGATTTTGCTATTTAATAGCAAAGATTTTCCTCCTTTAATAGCAAAGATTTTCCTCCTTTAATAGCAAAGATTTTCCTTTAAATACATTTTGAAACAAATTTTAAAAGATCACTGAATTATACTTTTTCAAGCAATGATTATAAATATGCTTTAAAGATTTATCAGGAAAATTTAATAGCACTTATTCCAATTACAATTTTAAATATGTAATTAGTGTATATGTTCTAGGAAGGCAAAGTTCCACTGTCTTGTCCAATGCTCCCCATAACATCTACAGCACATGCTCAAGCAATATTTGTGAGGTGAACAAAATCTGAGGCTAGGCCCTCAGAAGGCTTTGTACCACAATGGTACTAGAGACAAGAGACAAGAAGAATCTTCTTTTGTTATTTTTTAAAGAAGCACATAAATAATGCCATCTCTGGGAACACCACAGCCCCACCTGAAGGCTGAGTCTAAGCAATATGGCCTCTTCAGCTTCCCTCCTCTAAGCCCCATTCCCAATTTGATATTAAGTAACAACTACACTTATATCAGTTCCCATAGTGTAAATGAGGCATTGCAAATTCAAAAGCCTAAAGAGGCCAACCAAATGATGAAGATGCATAAGGGCAGCTGGGATAAGGAAAACAGACACTCAGCATTTGGGTCAGGATACCCTAAAGATGATAACTGTGCGGGAGGAGAGTGTGAGCACTGCCCAAGGAGAGGCTCCAGGTCAGTCCCAACCCTCAGGTCAGAAGCAATGAGGGCCTTGGGTTAACAGAGCTGCTAAATTTTTCAATAGTGACTTGAAACTCAGAATTCTTAATAGGAAATCTTAATTTTTGTATGTTAGCGCCTACACTGGGAAGACCAAAGAAAACAGATGTGGGAATTATATTGGTCTTTGGGCCACTGAACTACATTAAATAAAATCTTATGCTCATGTGGCCCAGCCTGATCCACCAAGTCAAATATGGACTTTAATTCTCACTGCCAGCCAAAACACTGCTGCAGTTAGAATTATTAAAGGATGATCCACATTCTCTAATCATCCCCCTCATTTCTGAAAAATCCTTTTCAGGAGCTGGATAAACTGACTACTTTGACCTGTTTCTTATAAGAGAAATAGCAGTGCCTGGCTTGGGTGAGAGGCCTAAAATGTGTAAGTCAACACTAACAAAAACAAACTACATCAATAAAAACACCACTAAACATTTGCCACACTTTCATTTCACAAAGTGTTTTCAAGTGCATCCTGAAAATGAGGAAATCACCCAGGAGACTTGGTGAAGTCTGTCCATCCACCTGCAACGAAACCAGCCACTCAGCACAGGTGTCCCATCCATCAGTAGTTTCAGGCACAGGCAGGAATTCCCTCCAAGTGTCCTGAGTATGCCTAACTATGGACTTTGCCCCTCAAAATTCTACATTCTAGATTAACAGGACACCTGGGGTCTCAGCAAATTTAATCTTACACTATACTGTAATATGCATTTTCATAAGAAAAGGAGGTATTTTTACTTACCTGTAATTTTGAAAGATCTTCTGTATAATTTTTATCCGCTAATGAATCAGATGATATTAAGATGTGAACCCATGGATAAATTAAGCCATAATGACTACAGGCATTTATCTAAAACATAAAAGAATTTCTCATAAACAAAATATAACAACAAAAGCTTGCTTATCCATTCCACGAACAGCAAGCAATCATTAATCCTCTGCCATGTCATAGAATTAGGTATACACTTTCCTGGGAATGGGAAGGACAGTTTTTAAGAATGTATTCCCCTGGAAAATATTTCAGTCTTGCTTGCTTCTACACTAAATATTTCCATATACTTTAAAATGTAAATACTCCAAAGACGCACTTTCTAGCAAAAAGAACAATACTGCATTTAAGCCAATTATACCTAACAAGAATATTGGAAATAATTTTTATTAATACTACTTTCTTTAGAAGGCAAAATATCTTTCATAAATTCTCAAGACAATTCCCAAGAAGCCCTGCTTATTCAAGAAGCTGGTAACGTTTCCACTTAGCCCTCCATTAGCCATGGCTAATGAGCTGTGAGAGAAATGGGCTGGGAGCAAGAAGGGTAGCAAGAAGGGTAGAAAGAGTTATTACTGGCTGCCTCAAGTGCTACAGAACAGCTCCTTTATGTGAAACAGACAGGAAATGGGGGCCCACTAAGGAAGTCTCCCTCCCACAGCCTTCTGCAGTTCCTCTCCCACCAATGAGGTCTGCAGATGTCTTCTCTCTTATGTTCTATTTAATGATCCTCTGCTGAGGAAGGACAGATGTGATGTTCTGGAAGAAGTCCCTTTCTCCATGCTTTGGCAACTGAGCTACCACTTCAAGTAAGTGAGGGAAATTAATAAGTGGAGGACATTCTTTAGAGTATAAAATTATTTAAAATGTAGGCCACTTCAGTTATAGACAAATTTTAAGTGTATTTTTAACTCTTGCGTAAATAAGATACCGGTAATAGAAAACTAGGTTATATTTTATAATAAATTATAAAAAATAAGAAGGTATGTTTTTGTAATGGGCAATGCATAGGTTAAATTTAAGGTATTATTCCATTATCTTACCAGATCCTCCGACGTTCGCAATGGTGTGGTGTCAGGAGGCTGCCTCTTAGACAATCTCCAGATGTACTGGGATGTGAGCTTGAAAAAGAGTTCCTGAAGTACCACATCTGGGAGACATGCCACTAGCTGAGCTTCCCAAAAGTCTACCAAGAGCTGAGGAGTTGTATCTTCATCCTTAGCACAAAGCACCTTGAAAACAGTAAAAGAAGCCTCTATATTCCAGATAAATATAGCACTGATAAAGCAACAGCTGGGCTGAATATCAAAGCATCACATGGGCCATGCAATTAATAATTTACCATTAGCATTAGTGCCATGGCGAAAGAAAATTTAGACATTTTTTAAAGGAAACAGATTCTAGGTTGTACAAATAAAGTTTCTTCAGATATAATCTTTTAATTAGTACTTTTATAACTGATTATGTATGTCTGTTTTTTCAATAAGCAAACAAATGAAAAACTCCCTTCTCTTATTCTGTCCCTCCCCACCACCAATTTAATGAGGCCATCCAGAAAAATCACATTTTCAAAGTGACAAACCTTAAAAAAGGAATCTGCTTCTTCAATTCCAATTTTGTTGTTCTTCTGCAAGCCCAGAACTGAAGCCACAAGCAATCCAGGCTGAGTCTCCTTTAAGTGAAGTGCAAGCTCAGTTGGAACAATCTGTCCCTTTCTCTGTTGAATCAATAGCCGAGGTTCCAGAATGAAGCCACATACCAACTTCATCTTCAGATAAGAAAGAAATTTAGGAACAAAAGGTACATTGTATTTAGATTGTCTACCTTAGAAATACTAAACATGCTAGTGCATTTACAATGCATGGTTAAGCTATTAATAATTTAATCACAATGTTTTCTTTGACTATAAAGGCTAGTTCTTACCCAAAGAAGGACACCACTGACTGTCTTACAGAAGTTACTAACATTTCACTAAGCATCAAGGTGTCCTATTTTTTGTAGAGAGCTTTATATTTAGGTCTACTTGATTTGAAAATGCAGTCAATTTTCTGTATCTGTGGGTTTCACATCCATGGATTCAACCAACCACAGATCAAAAATATTCGGGATGGCTGAACGCAGTAGCTCATGCCTGTAATCCCAGCACTTCGGAAGGCCGAGGAGGGCAGATCACTTGGGATCAGGAGTTCGAGAGTACCCTGGCCAACATGGTAAAACCCCATCTCTACTAAAAATACAAAAATTAGCCAAGCACGGTGGTGCACACCTGTAATCCCACCTACTTGGGAGGCTGAGGCAGGAGAATCACTTGAACCCAGGAGGTGGAGGTTGCAGTAAGCTGAGATCACACCACTGCACTCTAGCCTGGGCCACAGAATGAGGCTCTGTCTCAAAAAAAAAAAAAAAAATGGTGGGGGGGAAAACTGCCTCTGTTCTGAACATGTACAGATTTTAAAATTATTATTCCCTAAACAATTCAGTATTAACAACTACATAGAAGTTGACATTATATTAGGTATTATAAGTAATAGAGATGATTTGAAGTATATTGGAGAAAGTAGATAGGTTATATGCAAATACTATGCCACTTTATATAAGCAACTTTAGCTTCTGTGGATTTTGGTAACTGTAGAAGGTTCTGAAACCAATCTCCCATAAATACCAAGTGATGACTAATATATCTTAAGTTTTTTCAAAATTATGAAAAGTCATTTTTCTAGAATTCTACTCTTCAAAACAGAAGACATCCTGATGTTGACTTGCTCTCCTCATCATAACAAAGCATGTCATTTGTACAGCGATAAAGCACTTATGTTCTTCCTTTTTTTAGCAACCCAAGTCATACTGTGGGCTTTGGCCACAATCTGGCAAGAAAACAGTGCAGGAGCACAGGTTCTGAAGTCAGGCTGCCTGGTTCAATTCTGGTTCTACCACTTAACAGCTGTATGATCCTGATGAGTTACTTAACCTCTCTGTGTCTTAATTCCCTCATTTGTATAATACTTAATTCCCTCATTTGTATAATATTCCTACCTTATAGCATTATTAAGAATTAAGTAATATATGCAAGGAGCTGGTAAATAATAAGTGTTCAATTACACTACCTCTTATTTTCTTCCCTTAAATGATTAACACCTTTGGTAGTGTCCCTAAATGACTTCTTTTCCAAGGGGAAGCCTGTGTTTCTTGGTACAACATTCAAATGTCCAATCCTCCATAAAGTTATCTGTGATTTTACCAAGTGGGGGTTATTTCTGCAACTACTAGACTTCTAAAGTCCATGGCTAATATCCCCTTTGCTGTTCTTAAATACGTATTACTCTGTTCTTTTCCAGTGCACACACCATATCCCTGATGCCAGATCACATCATCCCCTCGGAGCAGAGCCAGTTCTTCAGTAACAAGCTCAGTGCTCTGAACACACCTGACACTAAGTTGAAGTCTTTGGATATCCACTGCTGTCATTTATCAGTCTTATTTCTTTTACATTTGCCAGATTCGAAGTCCCATTTGGATCACTTTGTTTCTAAAATTGTCTGTTTTCCATTACAACCAAGAACGTATGAGCTAGAAAGAAGCCAGAAGACAGCTAAACACTTCAGGATTACCAGGTCCTATTTCAGCCTTCTGTTAGCACTGGGCAGGGCTCCATACCTCTGAATGGCTTTTCATTTCATTTCTGTGCATGTCAAGATCTCCCATTTTCAGAGCCACTGCTGCCTTGGTCAATGTCACTAAGATCGATGAAAACCCAGAAGTATCCAGCTTCCTTAGATAGCTCATGGCAGTTAAAGGATTAATATTCTTCATAGAAGGACTACAGAGAATATGGGGCACTTGCTTTGGCTCAGCCACATAAAACATCTGAACCACTTTTGCTGCTAATTCCTTTGGTGAGCACAAAGGAATAAAAGGAATAAAAGGTCAGTCAGTCAGAAGAAAGCAACAAAATCAGCAAAACATGTGCAAAAAGCCAAGACACAAACATTTCAAGTAAGATAAAACTATAGTATTATGTTCTAATTTTAAAAAGACAAAACTGATACTAATACAAGGGAGGCCTGCGATAACCTGAAGTGATCTCTTTGCTGATTATAATGAAGAAAAAACAATGAAAATAGGTACCAGGTTATGACCAGCATTTCTAATTTCAACACTTCAGAAGAAGAAAATAAACATTTGATTGAATTACAATAAAAATCTATCATAAAAACTACTATTTAGTTCAAAATATACCCAATTAAGTAAACTGTATGAGAAAATTTCATTTCAAAACCTTAGAACATTTGATACCACAATTTCTAACTTGGCATATTTGCATCCAACTATGTATGAAATACATGAGGGGTTATCTTTTCTTTTCTCTCTCTAAGACAGGGTTTTCCCGTATTGCCCATGCTGGAATGCAGTGGTGTAATTGTGGCTCACTGCAGCCTCAAACTCCTGGGCTCAAGTGATCCTCCTGCCTCAGCCTCCTGAGTAGCTGGAACTACATACTGATGTATGCCATCAAGCCCAGCTAATTTTTAAATTTTCTGTAGAGATGGGGTCTTGCTCTATTGCCTAGGCTGGTCTCAAACTTCTGGCCTCAAGTAATCCTCTCACCTCGACTTCCCAAAGTGTTGGAATTGCAGATATTAGCCACGTGCCCAGCCCTAAAAATAATCCCTAATAATGTCTTAAGGTCACTGGCCTAAGGTCAGAGTTTTGTAAGTGAAGTTTTGGACACACGGAGTAAGGGATAATTAGGGTTGCAGGAAGGACTACAGATGAGAAGACGGAAGGCAAGGGCCGCATTCTGTGTAGCTCTTCTGAGGACATGCTGCTGTCACTGGCAGGTGTTGAGACTACAACAGACCACATGTCCCTGTCTGTATAATGAGAAAGTATGAGAAGATTACCCATAAGTTCTTTTCCAAGCTATAATTCTATCTTCATTAATGAAGAAAATGGCACATGACTTTTTTAGAAAAAGAATATCAAAGAAGAAAAATATTTGGAACCTGATTTCTAAATAGTACTACATAAAATAAACCACTAAAATGAAAAGTTAAAAATATTAGATATAAAACAGAAAAGTATAATCACTTCACTTAATTCTTCATCCAGGTTTTCATAAAGTGAATGATTAATGTAAAAGATTAATCCCCTCTCGTATTTCTGTAATCCATCCTCTACCGTCCAGTCCATGCGGGCCAGAACTTCAGCCATAGACAAACCAGACATCTTATAGTATGGCAAGGTGAGATGCGAATGCTGGGAGTCAAGCCTAAAGGGAAGGAAATAAAAAACCTGAAATTTGTCATTTTTTTAAAGACAGGGTCTCTCACTATGTTGCCCAGACTGATCTCAAACTCCTGACCTCAAGTTGATCATCCCACCTCAGCCTCCCAAAGTGCTGGGATTCCAGGTGTGAGCCACCATGCCTAGTCAAATTTGTGATTTTTAAACCTGGATATCTAACACATTCTATAATAGAACATATCATGCTTTCCAGAAGATACAAATTCCAAAATACTTTTCTACTGCCATTAGTAACTAAAACAAACTCCTAAGTTTTATTTTACAAACTTCTAATTAATGCAGTTTCTTTTTGCCTGCTGATAATAGAAACAAAAACAACAATTTAAGTTAATTCTAATATTCATGATCAGACTCTAAAATAATGGTGTTTATAGGAGGAAAAGTCTGTTTTATTAATTTTTAACCATTCATGTGGATCAAGTAAGTCTGAAAACAATCATATGCAAAACAATGTGTAAACATTACTCTCAAAAACAAAAACACTATTCATACTAGTGTCCCTTTCTGACATCATAAAAGCACTGACTACTAAGACCAAAATCATAGACTGTTCAACTGGCAGCTCTCCCTTAAGCTACAGACAATAAACTAGTCATACAGCTATGTCAGAATTTTCAAAGCCTGAGAAAAATGTCAAAGTCCTAAGTTAAACAGTGGGAAAATCACAAACTTGAGACTTACTGCTCATCTTCTAAACTGTGACTCCTTGAGAGCAGGAAATGGGTCACATTCATTTTTGTATGTTTAAGCCTAGCTGTGCTCAATAAATGCTTGTGGAAGAAGTGAATAAATGAACCACCTCCCCATTTATCAGGTAACTACCAGAGATGGAAAAGCTAACAAGTGTACCCAAAGTTCAAGATGGCTTCTGTAACAAGGTTTCAAGAGGTGTCACCCACCTGCTGTAACAGTCCCCAAGGTGCCCACAGCTCTCCTTAAATGCTTCCAAAAGCTCTGCCTTCTCTCCAGGTTCCAGCTGACTGGCATCCATCAGGGCAGCTCGCACTAACAGATGAGCCTCACTGAGAAGGTGAATGCAGCTCTGGGTTTTGACAGTCTTATAGGTATTGCTATAGTCTATCTAAAACAAAAAAGACAAACACTAACGTTGCTGAAGAGAGACTCTCAAAAGTTCCTCAATTCTTAAAATAATTTATACATCTTGTTAGTAAAGTTAACATTTGGACATATAAACCTTAAAAGTAAACAAACTAGTTATTTACCATTCTGACAAGGGCTTAGCTGAAGGGCTTTTTTCCCATCATCTATGAGCCAGTTTAATACATACATGATTATAAATAATACCTTGTTAAACAGCTCTAATCATTAGAGAGGTCCAAATAATATTGTAATACTAATAATACTGTAAACTTAGCAACAATTTTATCTCAATAAGACTAGTGAACGTACTAATATTTGAAATAGTTAAGCTTAAAAAAAAATTGTGATTTAATTCTTTCTCAAACTTAGACTGAGTATTCTTCCCCTATTTCAGTTTCAATTTGTAAGTTTAGGCTCTACTACATCTATTTCCATAACTCATAGAGGGCTCGTAAAAATTATCACTAGCTAATCTGACTCAATCAATATATTCAGACGCTAGCAGTCAAATCACCTAAATGAAGACCTTCAATTAAGCAAGACTGAAAAGACAGGGCACAGCTGACATAATAACTGGCATTAAATTATTGGCAGGGACAAATCAGGCAACACCTTGACCTGATGATCAAAATTAACATCGCCAAAGAGGGGCAGATGAACAGCATGTGCCTCCAGATGTGATACCCTTAACACAAAAATCACCTATGCAATATTCTGGCTGAAAATGCATAATCTGAATCTAACCATTAAAAAAAAGAGCAAACCCTAAATAAGGAATACTCTCAAAAAAAAGTAAAGGGGAAAACTGTATTTTTCAAAAACATCCATGTCATAAAATATAATGAAAGGCTATAGAAATATTCGAGATTCAAGGAGGCTAAAGAGACACACTACCTGATCCTAGACTGGATCTTGAACTGGAGGAGGGGGAATGCTATTAAGCCATTGAGTCAGCTGACAGAATTAGACTATGAACAAACCAGATAAAGCACTGTGCCAATGTTAAATGTATTAAAACATACTACTGTATTGTGGTATGCAAGAGAGTATCCTGATTCTTAGAAAATATATGCTGAAGTACTTAAGGGCAAAAGACTGATGTATGCAGTTTACCTCCCAAAGAATCAGAAAACAGTGTATGTATACGTGTGTGCACAGAAAGCACAGAGTGCATAAAAAAGAGAGAGAGAAGCAAATAGGGTAAAATGTTGACTGTGGAGAAATCTGTGTGGGGAATGGGAATATACAGAATATTCTTTTTTGAAAAAGAGTCAAAAGAGTCAGGGTCTTGCTGTGTCACCCAAGCTGGAATGCAGTGGTACGACCATAGCTCATTGTAGCCTTGAACTCCTGGGCTCAAGTGATCTTCCCATCTTAGCTTCCCAAGTAGCTAGGACTACAAGTATGTGCCACCACAACTGGCTAATTTTTTAATTTTTTGTACAAATGGGATCTCACTATGTTACCCAGGCTAGTCTCGAACTCCTGGCCTCAAGCAACCCACTTGCCTCAGTCTCCCAAAGGGTTCGGAACAATATACTTATTCTTGCAACTTTTTTTTAAGTCTGAAATTGTTTCAAAATAAAGAGTTAAAATAATTGCCAGGGAGGAGTAGGAAGCTGTCACTCTTACATCAGGAATAAGGATGCTCCCTCTGGGTCCCTCCCCCCAGGACAATGCTGCAGTAGCTGTAGTGCCCTGGGACAATCTGCTAACATTTCTAAATAAGAAGAGTGGGACAGGGATATACAATCCTAGATTTTTTTTTTTTCTCCATTTCTTAGCTATCTTTGCTAGGGTTCAAAGTTAAGGTCAAAGACTATGTTTAGATTGGCCAGTGGATCTTCTTTGGAGAGTGGGTATGAATAAGGCAGTCTTATTCTAGTGAAGGGAATTTCTACTGGTTCCTTGGATGTCAGAAGCTGTAAAAATAAGGACACAGACAGAGATACACATTCCACTGTCAGACAGAGTCAGGAAGCTGAATGGCTGTGGCATCCTGAATGTATGATAATTAGAATCAATTTCTGATCATTAATTTCAGTCTAAATATCTACAAACAAGAATCAGAAATTTGAAAAGAGTACCATCTCTTTGTACAGTTGCACTGGTGAGATCGTATTCACAATATACAAATTCCACCCAGCCTCAGCTACAGGAGGTATTTTGATCTTAACACTGGTATCTTTTCTAGAACTAAAAGCAAAACAAAGGACAATAATTTTAAAATGACATTATTAATAAATGGTAGTTGCAAATGGTAAATATTGGATATAAAATAACTATAAAATCATTTTCATTTACTATTTTCTTAAGTGATTAACTGTACACTCTATTGTTACGGAATATTAGTTCACAATACTACATAGGCTAACTGCATTTAATATTCTGTAATTTTCATGTAATGATAAACCAACTGCTTCCAATTCACTCCACAAGTATTCTCAAACGAGCAATAAGTTCAAAGAACAGGCAAGTCCTATCAAAAGGAAAAGATTCTTGACTGCGGAAGTCCCCATGCCCAGGCCCGTTTCTGCATTTGACTTTCACGAATCTAGCATGCCCTAAGCCACAAATCTAAGCAGAAGCAACATCATGGCTGCTGAGAATATGATGAAGACACACAAAACTGTTAAGTTTGCTTAAAGCACTATCTTACCTCTTGCTTTCACTATGTGATGCATTTTCTTTAGTGTGTAATCTTTTAAAATTGTTTATCAAATGAATTCGAATTTTTAAAAGATCATTTAAAAAGTTATATCAAATGTGCAAGACTACAAACTGCTTTTCCTCTCGCCAGAAAGCTTTTAGGATCAGTAAGCCCCATACTCTGTGTACACTCAAAGTGATCAGTTACCAAAGTCCCCCTCTGATTGCTATTGATGCAACAAAGCATAGCCACTAACAATTTGAAAAAGTAAAAATCCATGTTAAAAATAACCTATGTTTGATATGACATACACTATATGCTTCACTCCCTGAAGAGATTTCTTTCTTGATTAGATTTTCCTTAGAGAAATTACATTGCATTCTCTACCACTAAGTAAGAAAACATCAAATAGAAGCATAACTAGTATGGAATTAAGCATTCCATTCTAAAAAATGGGAAAGCAGAAACCTAACAGATAACAAGAGATGAATGTTATCAAAATACAACTTTATTTTCAGATAGATCACGTATCTATAGATCATAAATGTGCTTTAAGGTAAAACATACATTATTAATTTCTTTTGTAATATCAGAAAATAATTTTAGATAAAAATGTAACTACTGAAAGGGTCAAAGAAGAAAGACAGTAAAAACTCCTATAGTTTCAATTAGTATTACAGGCTCAGTCTTTCCCATTAATTACACAGAAAAGCATGTCCTTTAACTAATCTAAAACACCTTTGATTTTTACTGAAACTATTTTATAATCCATTTTCTCCTAAAAGTTCCCAGGTCAGTTATAAAGTGTATTACAGAGATTGTTAGAACCTTCTTTTCTTTCTCTGGAAAAAGACTACCATAAAAAAGCCATTTGATCATTCCAAGTTACGATTTAAAAAAAGATAAACACAAAATATACCAGTTACAATTCATTCCAGAAACTGGCAGGAATGCCTGGGGCAAGGGGATGCTTACAGAAGCCTCTTGGGTGACTGTCTTCTCTCTGGAATGGCCTCAGGGTCTGCTTTAGTCAAAAGTATGATGTGGTTTTTAAAGTGACAGATGGCTTTCAAGCCTATGAAAAGCTGTATTCTTAAAGCACAGACATCCATACTAACAGGTGGGCAAGCCTAGTAAAGGAAAACCACAAATTTAAGCAAGAAATAAAGGTACATGCACTTCAATCTTCAAAAATCAGTCAGTTTATTTGATAAAATCTCTTTTGCTGCCACCCTCCCATACCCACACCACCAAAAAAGAAACAAACAAACAAAAAACAACCCAAATGCCTATTCTTAACAGAGGAGGTTATCTAAACCTATGTAACCAATAGCACATTCTATAGAGCTACTCAGTCAACAAACTCAGTTATTTATTGATTGAATAAATGTGGAAACAGGGTCCTACAGCTGCAGGAACTTCTGTGTGTGCCCCACAGATACCTCCAAGAGAGGAAGCTGGTACCCTGCCACCCAGGGAAACTCCTACTACTAGCAGGATGGGTAGGGGTATGCTGAAATGGGATTTTTAGGCAAAACCAGACACTATGAAAGGACATTCTATTGCATGTAGAGTACATAAAATGGTTACTTTGTGGACGTGTGTGTGAAAGAAATGCTTGTAAGTTCCGATGGCCCCTGATTGTTAGTCTGTTAGGTATGAACAGTGAGTGCATGGAATGGCTGACAGGCTGGAACATGTCAGATAAACTAGAGGAGCTAGCCTTTTGCTCTTGTAAAGGACCATTAATTCAAGTAGAATGAATAAGAAAACTAATGGAAGAGCTCTATTCTGGCATGCTGCCAGGACCCTGCCTTCTTGTCCATGCATGCTGTTTTGATTCTGAGGTCATCTTCACTGTTACCTCCATGTAAAAATAGTTCAGGTGGCTTGGCTAGTGCTGAGCAGCCAGAATCTCAGAGGAAAAGGAGACAGACCACATGCACTTTCAACCAGACTCTGAGGTTGGAAACTTTTTCCAGACATCACAGCTCCAAAGCCTGAGTCGGCAGGTGGGCTAAACGTGTGCTTGTTTAACTGGCACCTAGGGCTTCAGAACTGGTGGAGTCACAGGAAAGGAGCAACCGTGAGGTGTGATCATCCCTTCTCCCTCCTACCTCCACGGGCCTCAAGGGCAGCATACCCCCACCAGATGCCCACCTCTCCTTATCCCTCCCCTTTGTCCCTTCCTTGTTCCTTTGCTCTGTTTTTATAAGACTCTGAAAATACATGTAATTATTTTTTTTCCAAATGTACATTGATCCTACTTCAATCTATAAGGTACTTTAAATCACACCATCACCCCTATATAAGCCTATGTCGTTCTGAGGTTTGAAAAGGCAAGGAGGGAAAAGAAGAGGACAAAGAATGGAAGTTTTACTTTTTTTATCTGTTACTTTTCAATTTTTACAAAGGAAATAATCCTGATTTTAAAATAATCTCTCAAAAAGGCCATGTGTGTATCTTACACAGACAAAGGCACAGGAAATCTGTGGTTCTGGTTTCCCAAGAGGCTGAGAGCAGGCAGTAAGCCTGGTCAGCAACAGAAAACCACACGCAGGCCATTAAAAAGGGTCACTAGGAACTCAGAGACCATGCTTTCCATAAAACACTATCATATGACACAATTTGGGCGACAGTGACTGTGAAAGAGTATCTCAGACACATTAGGCACTGTGTCGGGGCTGGTTTGTTAAGACAACCATCATTATTGAAGGCTTATTTTTCTGGAAAAAGGTATTCCAGTTTTCAGATAGATATAAACCAATTTTTGAAATGCAGAGCATCACGATTTGGGAGCTTCTTGCAGCATGTATATTCCTAACAAACAGCCAATTCAAATAGCTTATACTTCAGAAGTAAAATAACATAGGTGAATATAATGTACATGATCAGCATATTTCTAGAACAGAAATTCAAAGTCAGAAAACACAGAATCTTAACATAATAATGCCTACATTTATTTTGTGGTCAAGAGGATTTTTTTAGAGACCAAGCACTTTACTTCGCACTAAAAATGAGATTACTGATCTACCCTATCCATTAACTCTTAGATTAAGTATAGAAGGTTATCAAAGGCTTATAAAATACAAAATTACAGGCATAGCTGATAATAGTATAAACAAATCATTTTAATGCATTGTATTCAATTTTGTGCTCTTAAGTATATTGATTTCTGGACTGTTTTGTTAACAGCTCTGTAAAACTACCACCTATATTTCCATTTAATAAAATACAATTGCTCCAGGCATGGTGGCTCATGCCTGTAATCCCTCCATTTTGGGAGGCTGAGGCAGGCAGATCACTTGGGCCCAGAAGTTCAAGACTAGCCTGGGCGACATAGCAAAACCCCATCTCTGCAATAGTAATAATAATAATAATAATAATAATAATAATAATAATAATGAAATGAGCAGGGCATGGTGGTGCACACCTGTAGTCCCAGCTACCTGAGGGGCTGGGGTGGCAGGATCACTTGAGTCAAAGAGTTAGAGCCTGCAGTGAGCTATGATTGTGCCACTGCCCTCTAGCCTGGGTGACAGAGCAAGACCCTGCCTCGAAAAGATTAAAAGTTAAAAATAAAAAAATAAAAAATAAAATTGTAGTATACTATAGTTGTGAACTGCTCTCAGTTCACACTTTTTATATTCTTTACCAAACTTTAAAAACTATTCACTAAATCAATTCAGAGTGAAATGTTTGCAAAGCAATCTTAAAAACTGTCAACTAAGCCATGAATCACAAAATCCTTACTATTTTACATCCAAAAGTTCTAATTCAATACATTAGACAACCTTAAGCTCTTTCGTTCTTGCCTAGCTTAGGTCTGAGAGCAAATCTACGAGTATTCATGTGCTCCTTTGTGATCGTAAGGTTTCATTGTATTCATAAGCCATTTCTTACCTTCAGGGTGGTGTCCATGTACGGGTCCTCCTCACGAGCTGTCGCCGCACTGCACCGTACAGTGAAACACTGCAGGTTGTTACTGAGGAGGAAGAACCAGGTTGCTGAGCAAAGTGAGGCCAAGAACCAACATACCCGCACCAGGGAGGGTTTCACAGGCAAACACGCCAATGGTAGGGGTGGCAGTCAAGTATCTGTCAAATATTGCCAAGTTAAACTGCTTCTCAGTAAGAGGAATGCCTCAGAATCCCTGTGGCTTTTAAAAATATACAACTGGTCCCCATAACACCCCCAGTGAATTGCAATCTCTAGGGGTTGAATCTAGATGTGTATATTTCTACAAAACTCCATATGTGACTCTGATGTGCATCCCTAGTTAGGAACCATGGAACTGGGTCAATATCTTCATTTTACAGACAAATGATGTCCCCAGTACCTGCCCAAGGTACAGAAGGGTGTCTATCAAAACCAAGATTAAAACCCATTTCTTAACTGTTGTTCTTCCTCACCCACCTCATGATGAAATTCATCCTGGATTATGCTAGACAACATAGACTATGCAAACTCAAATCCAATGGTCAAATTGAAAATGAGAGACCATCTAAAGGCATCTTCAGAATTATCTAGTCCAGCAGCTTGTTTTAAAGATTGGGGCATGAAAGGTTCATGACTGGTCCACCGCCTCTCTGGAGAGTACAGCCAATTAGATCCCAGGTCTCCTGACCCCTCACACTCCTCTACCTCTTTCCACAACTCCAGGCTGCTTCTGCATACAAAAAGGACCTAGGGACTCCACAGTAAGTGCCTGGTTGTCATCTAGGTCAACCCTCCAATACTGACATTAAAAACAGTTAATTAACTTAGAAATTGCTACACAATGATGTATATTTCTGTCCCATTATGTGATAGGACAGAAATTAATATTTTTATTCCTTCCTTCTCCCTCCCTTTTTACAAAAAAATTATAAAGTGGGAGAAGCAAAAATGAATTCTTTAAAATAAAAGAAAAAGGACTAAAGCAAACCTAATAGTAATATTAAATTTAAAAAAATTTCCTCAAAAAGAAAGGCATTCTGATATTTTCAGTTAGGAGACTTAGCACAATTTAAGAGGTAGTCAGGTCTCTCTCCATCTGCTGGTGCTTCCACTTCAGCCTCAGTCCACTGCCATCTCTATCTCTGCAAAGTTCTAGGAAATGACCTCTGGAGTCCTGACAACAACTAGGACAGTAGCACCACCATTTACAAATCTGGAGTACAGTTAGCAACCTTGGGAAGTAAACTGAGAGAGAGGGAAGCAAAAAAGCACCTGCAGTGGGACCAGAAGGACAGTTGAGAATAGCTATGACCACAAAAACCAATGACCTTTAGATTGTAGAGATAAAAAGGCAGGGTTTCGGCTGGGCGTGGTGGCTCAACCCTGTAATCCCAGCACTTTGGGAGTCCGAGGCGGGTGGATCATGAGGTCAGGAAATCGAGACCACCCTGGTTAACACAGTGAAACCCTGTCTCTACTAAAAATACAAAAAAAAAAAAAAAAAAAAAAAAAACCACATGGCCAGGCACGGTGGCTCACGCCTATAATCCCAGCACTTTGGGAGGCTGAGGTGGGTGAATTGCCTGAGGTCAGGAGTTTGAGACCAGTCTGGCCAACATGGTGAAACCCTGCCTCTACTAAAAATACAAAAAAATTAGCTAGGCGTGGTGGCAGGTGCCTGTAATCCCAGCTACTCAGGAGGCTGAGGCAGGGGAATTGCTTGAACCAGGGAGATGGAGGTTGCAGTGAGCTGAGAGCATACCACTGCACTCCAGCCTGGGCGACAGAGCGAGACTCCATCTCAAAAAAAAAAAAAAAGAAGTCTTGATATGCTTAACTCTGGGAGAACAGGATTTCATGGGGGGCTTTCCTACTTACATATTTCTATAAAGTTGGCATTTTACATGATTTTATTTTGTTCTTTGCTTCTTAAAAAATCTCTATTGCTTTCTTTAGGCGTATACCAATCTTCAAGAAACTTTTCAAGACCACCTTACGGGACAAGCGATTTTGAAACATTTATCTATTGGGTAAAATAAAAAAGATGGGCCAGGCGCAGTAGCTCACATCTGTAATCCCAGCACTCTGGGAGGCCGTGGCGGGTGGATCATCTGAGGTCAGAGCTGGAGACCAGCTTGGCCAACATGGTGAAACCCCATTTCTACTAAAAATACAAAAAAATTAGTCAGGCATGGTGGCAGGTGCCTATAATCACAGCAACTTGGGAGGCTGAGGCAGGAGAATCGCTTACACCCCGGAGGCAGAGGTTGCAGTGAGCTGAGACCATTGCACTCCAGCCTGGGCAACAAAAGCGAAACTCCGATTTGATTTGAAAAACAGGAGTGGAGATTCTTATTAAGAATCTGAATGTAGAGCAGTGTGAAGAAGAGACAACAACGACCCCTGGATCGACCAAAGTCTGCGCGCGCTGCATCCCGCGTCCAGCCCCCACGTCCTGCTGCCGTCGCCACTATGCCCAAGAGAAAGGTTGAAGGGGATGCTAAAGGAGATAAAGCCATGGTGAAGGACGAACCACAGAGAACATCCGCGAGGTTGTCTGCTAAACCTGCTCCTCCAAAGCCAGAGCCCAAGCCTAAAAAGGCCCCTGCAAAGAAGGAAGAGAAGGTACCCAAAGGGAAAAAGGGAAAAGCTGATGCTGGCAAGGAGGGGAATAACCCTGCAGAAAACGGAGATGCCAAACAGAGCAGGCACAGCTGAAGGTGCTGGAGATGCCATTTGAAGTGTGTGCATTTTTGATAACTGTGTACTTCTGGTGACTGTACAGTTTGAAATACTATTTTTTATCAAGTTTTATAAAAATGCAGAATTTTTACTTTTTTTTTTTTTTTTAAAGCTATGTTGTCAGCACACAGAACACTTCATTGTTGTTTTGCAGGGAAGGGGCATATGTCAGTAACAGAATGTCTCCAAAGCTGGATTGATGTGGGGAAAACACCGTTCCCTTCTAGTTTTGAGAGACTTCCTCTTGGTTCCCAGGAGGAGGGATTCCCTGACTTTGACACACATGGCCATCTTGGCACAAAAGCCTTGTGGTATGGAAAAACAAATTTGTTTTTATGTCCTCTTCTCCCTTTCCATCTTTCAGCATAGACTTAACTCCCTTAAGCCTAGACATCTGTTGAGAACTAACCCCTAGTCATTGATTACCAGTGTGTTCGGCAATCTGGACTTTCCAGTGATGCCACTGAGATGGCACCTGTAAAAACAGCAGTGGTTCCATTTCTAGATTGTGGATCTTCAGATAAATTCTGCCATTTTCATTTCACTCCCTGAAAGTCAGGGTCAGCTTGTGAAAAGTTGTTAAACAACATGCTAAATGTGAAATGTTAACCCTCACTCTAAACTTTCCCTGTTCAGAGCATCAGATGAAGACTTCATTGGGTTTTATAGTGGCTTTCTGATTTTTGGCAGTCCATTGAAGAAGGGAGTTTGAAAGTTGTTGTATACTGTTAACGATTGTCTGCCCATGTCCTGCCTGAAATACCATGATTGTTTATGGAAAGTATCTTTAATGAAGCTGGATACAGTTTGGCTTGGAAAAAAAAAAAAAGAATCTGAATGTACATAAAATAACTGCTATTCTAATGTCTAATGGTTTCACAGTCAAGTTAATGATGTCAGTCTCCTTTAGTACTGATAATAAGCTCAGAATTTTCCTATCTGGAGGCAGTCAAAATGCACGAATTACAAGTCCATTCAAACTCATAACATAATGCTTTCAAGACTCTACACTCCAAACTTGTACGTAACTTATAAATAAGACAGATGGGGCAATAGATTTAGTGGGTCCACACACTAAATTCTCAGTGTACTTCAAGTATATGCAATCAGATGGGAAAAAGATGGATAGTCTTTTACATCTATATGATGGGACAGAAATCAGTATTTTTATTCCTTCCTCTTCCCTTTCTTTTTCCATTGTGTCTGAGATGGTATAGTTTCCTAGATTCTTCTGCATCCTTAAAAATTTTCATCTTTCTCCTCTTGCTTACTGAGCAAGACCTTCACCAGAGTTTAATTCTTTAATAACTTTTCACTCTCTATATACACTCTCACTACTTTAATAATCAACTGTTTTGTTGGTGGTAATAAAACTTCTAAGCTTTCCTCTTTACCCTAATCTACAGTTCTATGGGTCCAAAAGCCTACTTAGCATTCTCTCGATAATCTATAAGCATCTCAAACTCAAATGTCTAAACCAAACATCTCTTTTGCCGCACATTTCACCAGCCTCCATTGTTTCATAAAAGCAGGCAAAACCATGGTGGGATTTTTCATGCCTCCTACATCCCCATTATCCCATCAGACAAGTCTTTTAACTTTCCCACTGAAGCCTCTCCCATCCATCCTCCCTTCTCCTTTCATTACCACTACCCTGCCTGAATACCGCCCCTTAATATCTTTGCCTGAACTATTCCAATAGTTTATTTATCTATGTTCAATCCATCTTCCACCACAGCCACCATTAATTTTCCTAAAATGTTCTGATCATATTACTTTCTCTGGTTAAAACTTTAAAAGTCCTTAGTTTAATTTTCAAATCCTTGAGCTCTCTCTCAAGCACTGTTTTCACCACCTGTCTACTTTTCAGCTTCTTCATATTTAAAGAACATCACTACCCAACATTTTGGACACTGGAAAGACTAGCTACCTCCACATTGTTCACTTAAGAAACACACTGCCAAGGGCAGCATTTCTCCTTAAGCCAGAAATCAGGTGGAGAAGGGAGTACAACCACTAAGAGTGGATATCAGAATCTCCAGATTGGTTCTATGCAGTTTGGAATCTCCAGCACCTGCTAGAGATTTTGATACTACCACTCAGTGGTGGGGGGATCTCTGTCCTGTGCAATTAACTTTTGGATGTTCCTAAAAAATTGATACAGTTTTTGTTTATAGTCTTCCTTCAATCTATAATGCACATCTCTTTCCATCTTCATCTACCAAAATTCTAGCTAGCTTTCATGCTTCACTTCAAACACAATCAGCTATCGAAAACTTCCCCATACAACTTAGCCAGAAGTAATTTCCCTCCTCCCAATGTCAGTGGCACTTTCATGAGGTCTTAAGATATTTTTCACAAATCTCCCAGTGTCTATGACTCTTGTGTGTCTCTCTAACTTTCTCTTCTATTGTTGTTTTAGAAAGTGGTTGGTGTATCTTATTCACAGTTGCTTGGTCAGAGGACACAACAAAGTGCCCTGAACATAATCTAAGCTCAAAAAACAGGAAATAGAACCAAAACCATCATATGCTGCTGAGATTAAAAGGAAATGAAATCAAGCTACTGCTTGTGAACCCAGTTTACATGCCAGCATAACAGGGGAAGGCAACTCAACACATCTGCCACCACATAGCACATGACTTTGACCAATTCTAACCTCTCTGTAACTACTTCCCTATCTGTGCCAATCAGGGAGAGAATAAGATCACCTCTCTGGCCCCTTCACAGTTCTAAACTATTACAAAATAACTCAATTTATACTAGAAAAATATGCTAGCAGTGAGAAAAAAAAAATTAAGAAATCTAAAAAGAAACATAAAGAGACACTCTGACTGGCTGCATTGACTTTTCATTAAAATTCCCTATGAAAGTCTTCCTTTAAGAAGAATCTTATACTTCCTTACAGGGATCCCCATTCAGTCTAAGGAAAGAAAACAAAGACAAAACCAGGGTCTAAATCTTTGACATTCAAAAGGCAGGTATGGGTCATCAAAAGACGGACTTGCAATGACATGTAACTCATGCATTTAGAGTACTCTCTGCTAGTTCACAAAATTCTTACAGATTTAGGCAGTACCTCAAAAATTTACAAATAAGTGACTCACAAGCCAGCAAGTGACCCTGTAACAGTACCTTGTAATGACGTGCAAAAATTGTGGCGTGAGTACTGCCTGCTGAGACTTCTCAGGATACTGGTAGACTGACATCAATTCAACAGATTTCACAACCATGTAGAGATAGCCCACATGAGGTAAGGAGAAAAAGCAAAAGAGACTCAGCAACTCTTTTTCCTGAGACAAATTTTTTCCATCAGAAGTAAGAGAACCTGCATGCAAAAATGAAAAAAATAAAACACCATGAAACCAGTAAAGGGGGAAATAATCATTTGCTATGCAAACTGTATCAGCGGGTAACCAAAGAGTTGCAAAGGGGAAGTTGCTCTTTATAGAAGAATGCTGACAAGAAATAAAAAAGGAGTAATATAATTAGAATATCAACATTGTACAACTCCTACTAAATTAACAGATCTAAGTAATGATCATCAATGGCTGTTAACATCACAAAGAGAGTCCACTGGCAGAGCTCAACACTACTTGGGTTTCAAAATAATAACAATAATAATAAATAATCTGAACAAGCCTGAGGATAGACCAGCAATGTTGATAGAAATATGTGAGCCACATCTGTAATTTAAAGATTTCCAGTAATCACATTTTAAAAAGTAAAAAGAAACAGCTAAAATTTTAATAATATTGTATTAACCCAACATATCAAAAATATTACCATTTCAAGAAGCAATAAACAAAAAATTAATGAGATATTATATACATTTTTGTACTGTCTTCAAAATCTAGTGTGTATTTTATACTTATGCCATATCTCAATTCAGACTAGTCATATTTCAAGTGCTTAATAGCAGTATGTGACCAATGGCTACCAAACTAAACAGCATACATTTCCATCTACCAACTCACATGGAAATACAGTGGACAGAGAAACATGTTAAATGACACTATAAGGATTCAATTAGCAAAATTCAGATTGTGGGAAATTTTATAGTAAAGAGTCTAATTTCTTGTTAAATAAGATGCAAAGAAAAGAGAGGAAGGAAAGCCTAGATATTAAAAGAGCCTTAAAAGACATAGCAATCAATTGCAATGTATGAACTTTATTTGGAATAGGATTCAAACAAATGAATTGTAGAAGTTTTTTAGTCAATCAGAGAAACGTGACCACTTATTGGATATCTGTTGGTATCAACAAAAATTTTTTTTTTTTTTTTTTTTTTTTGAGACAGAGTCTCACTCTGTCACCCAGACTGGAGTGCGGTGGCGTGATCTCGCCTAACTGCAACCTCCGCCTCCTGGGTTCAAGCGATTGTCCTGCCTACCAAGTAGCTGGGACTAGAGGTGCCCGCCACCATGCCCAGCTAATTTTTGTGTGCGTATGTATGTGCGTGTGTGTGTGTGTGTGTATATATATATATTTTTTTTTATTTTTTTTTTCAGTAGAGACGGGGTTTCACCATATTGGCCAGGCTGGTCTCGAACTCCTGACCTTGTGATCCACCCACCTCAGCCTCCCAAAGTGCTGGGATTACAGGCATGAACCACCGCGCCTGGCAACAATTTTTTTATAATGTGAAATAGTATTTTGAGTTTAAGTAAAAGAATCCTTTTAGAGACATATGTTGAAATATTTATGAATGAAATAGTATGAACTCCATGATGTGCATCAAAATAATGTAGCATGGAGCAACACTGTTGAAGCTGTTTGATGGGTACATGGGGGTTCACTGCACTATTTTCTATCTACATGTGGCTGTAATTTTTCATAACCAAAGTTGTTTAACAAGTACCCTGACTGATACCCTTCAAGGACACCAATTAATAGCAGAAGTCCAATTCTGTACTCTCCATATTTGGCAGAAAGCCAACTGTCCAGGTTTTTTCTCCCTATTCTTTTTTTTCACACATCTGTGCTCTGGCCAAAGAGAACTGCTCACGAATCTCCAAATACACCTATTTTACACCTCCTAAAATGTTGGTTCCCATTATGTAGTATCTTACCAAAATCTCTATCTTCTAAAAATTCTATTCATCCATTAGGGCCCAGCTCAAATACATATCACCCATCCATTCGTCTATTCAGTCAGTATTCATCAGGTACTTACTAAGTGCTGCTGTTCCAGATTCTAGGGATACAACAGTGTACAGGACAATGTAACTGCTTTCACAGAGCCTTCATTTTAGTGATGGGGATTGGGATGGAGAGTAAACAAGTAAACCCCAGTGTGAGTGGAGAAGGGATATTTTAAATTCGGAGGTCAGAGAAGTCCTCTGTGATGAGGTAACACTTCAGCTGCGAATTGAATGACTTAAATGCACCAGTCACACAAGGTCTGAGGGGAGTACACTCTAAGCACAAGAAGAGCAAATAATAGATCTTAGATAAGAGTGCATGTGGCGTCTCTAAAGAAGAGGGAAAGGCCACTGTGGATGAAGAATAGTAAGCAGGGTGAGAGTGGGACAAGATGGGCTCAGAGTTACGGTTATGTAGGCCATGGAGTGGATTTGGAGTTTTTATTCCAACTACTATGGGAAGCTCACTGGATCTTTAGCTGGCCCTCTAATACGGCTGTTGGTCCTGTCTGGTCTCCAGCCCTGTCTCACTGCTGCCCCCTTAGTTTTGCTTCTCTCAGTTTCTCAAATGTGATCCTCCCTCTGCCACAGAGCCTTTGTTGCTGCTTCTGCCTGGAAGGCTCTCTTCCCCTCACCTGCACCAACCGAACCCTATTCCCAAGTGCGTCCAATTCGCCCTTCAGATCCTCTTTCTCAGGAAGCCTTCTTCCTCAATCTTGAGGTCAGGGTCTTTTGTTATAGGCTCTCACAGGGAGGTTTACCACAGATCACTCATTTCAGGGTGCAACTGTGAATCTGCCTTTATTCAACTGTCTCCCTTCCCCCATTAGACAACTGGCTCCATAAGAGCAAGCACTTCACTCACTGTTAGTTCCCTAGTATTCAGCACAATGCTCAACATAGTAGGTACTCAATAAATATTTACTAAAAGAAAGAAAAAACAATTGAAGGCTAGAAAAACATTTAATCGGAATAATATTTGTATCTTTCTCTAGGTAATAGCTAAAGATGTTAATCAGACCAGAACTGAGTGCAGGGCCTATTAGTGATTCTCAATCATGGTGCCCATTAGACTCTTGGGGGGCTTTTAAAAAATACTAATGCCCAGGCCCTGTAACTGATATGCTGCATGTAGAGCCTGAGCATCAATATCTTAAAAAGCATTCAGTTAAGTCCATTGTGTGGCAGGGTTGAAAACTGCTCTAAATTATTTTCCATTCAGTCCACATTTTTACACCTAGTTCACAAGCCAATCTTGAGCTTTGCGAAATACCTAGCTAGAACCCAGACATACCTCAGCTCTAACAGGTCTCCAATTTCCTTTTTGGGTGTAGAGGCCATTTCAAAAAGGGAAATGAGTTCAATCTGTCATGCCTTCTCCATGGCTTCTCGAACTAGCAGGTATGACTTCCCTTTCTAGTACCCACAGGTATTTGCTAAGAATTTTGGGCCAGTCGCGGTGACTCACACCTGTAATCCCAGCACTTTGGGAGGCTGAGGCGGGCAGATCACCTGAGGTCGGGAGTTCAAGACCAGCCTGACCAACATGGAGAAACTCCATCTCTACTAAAAATACAAAATTAGCCGGGCATGCCTGTAATCCCAGCTACTTGGGAGGCTGAGGCAGGAGAATCGCTTGAACCCAGGAGGCAGAGGGTTGCAGTGAGCCAAGATCATACCATTGCACTCCAGCCTGGGCAACAAGAGCAAAACTCTGTCTCAAAAAAAAAAAAAGTAAATAAAAAATAATAATAATAAAATAAAGGTTGGGCGCCGTGGCTCATGCCTGTAATCCTAGCACTTTGGGACGCCAAGACGCGCAGATCACAAGGTCAGGAGGTCAAGACTATCCTGCCCAACATGGTGAAACCCTGTCTCTGCTAAAAATACAAAAAAATTTAGCCGGGTGTGGTGGCAGGCGCCCATACTCCCAGCTACTCGGGAGGCTGAGGCAGGAGAATCACTTGAACCCAGGAAGCAGAGGTTGCAGTGAGCCAAGATTGCACCACTGCACTCCAGACTGGCAACAGAGTGAGACTCTGTCTCAAAAAAAAAAAAAAAAAAAAAAAACTATTGTCATCCTCGCCATTTTTCCAAGCTTCAACTCTTGGTATTTTAGCATTCATGACACCACTTTACTGGTGCATACCGCTCTTTTATTGTTATCCTTGCATATACCTTTCTTTCCATCTTTTTTATTACATGATACATTTTTACGAACCTGAACTCAGGAGGCCGAGGTGGGCAGATCACAAGATCAGGAGATTGACACCATCCTGGCTAACACAGTGAAACCCCATCTCTACTAAAAATACAAAAACACTTAGCCGGGTGTGGTGACACACGCCTGTAGCCCCAGCTACTCAGAAGGCTGAGGCAGGAGAATCACTTGAACCCAGGAAGCAAAGGTTGCAGTGAGCCGAGATCGCGCCACTGCACTCCAGACTGGCAACAGAGCGAGACTCCGTCTCAAAAAAAAAACTTGTTAAAGGGTCACAAGGAGACTCCAGTGGAAGAACCAAACCACCAAACCTATTACCCGCATGGGTCTCCACTTCCAGCCCAGACAGAGCATTTCACCTTGCTGCACTGTCACACTCCTACACTATCATGCTTACCAGTCTGGTAAATGGGCAGCAGCTGGAGGGAATGTAGCTTGATGTCATCAGACAATACATAGGACGAAATATCAGGAGCAAAACGTCTATGGGTTTAAAAAGACAGAGAAAGGGAAAAATATAACTTCCATGTACTTTAAGCAGGCATATATACATTCAATGCTGTAAATAAAAAGCACTATAATACCTATAGAGCAGGTGCTGAAAGTGGGAATATTCTTTTTTTTCATCAGCTAATCCCGTAGACTCCAGTGTAACAGATAATCCAGACTGTTCACTTTTTTCACCAAGAAGTTCCAGGGGCTTCTGGCAGATAACAAAATCATCTGACTCAAGCTGTGAATTTTCATTACTGATGCCTTAAAAAAATAAAATATAACAGTCCTGCTTGAATGAAAATTAGATTTTACAACATCCTCTCACCAATTAAACAGACATACAGTAATTTTATTTATTTATAATATGCACACATTTACAAGGCACTATGGTTGTGAAAAGACTTAGCATTTGCTCATTTAATCTCCACAACAACTGATAAAGTACAACAGGGTAGGTATTATTATCCCCATTTTACAAATGAGGATATTGAAATTCAGAGATGGTATTTTGATGGTATTATTAACCCAAGGTCATTCAACTAGTAACTATGAGGACTAGGACTAGAAGCCCCTCATCTAGCAGTGGTCATTCCTTTACTTCTACTGATAAATATATTCACGTGCTACAGAATAAGATATGAACAGCCAGATCATAAACTCAAACCCCATGAAATAGGAATAACTAAATCTATAAATAACATGGCCGGGCACCATATATACCACGGACCTTCAGACTGCCAAAGGTGAAGGTTTTCTATATTCCAAAAACAAGAAAGCAAGTCAGATTTATTATTTACCTTCTTCCGTCCGTCTCATTCGATTGTTGGTCTTATGTGGATTGTGGTGAACTCTCTCTCCATTTTTAGGGCCTAGCTCCAGTTTTAGGATTAAGACTTCTAAGTCCGACATGACAGCAACATATCCAACACAAAAAGAAATCTCAACAGGAGTGATATTATCTATGTGTATAATTAAAGAACGTTCAAAGTCCAACAGTGAGAATTCCTCATTAATGATCTGGTACTTCAAACTAAATAAGACTAATTTATTTGCGCAGCCAACGAGAAGGTCTCCTTTCACAGGGCAGCAGGAAATGCACAAGGGGACCTCCGAAAGCGGCATTTCAATAATGTACATCTGGTCTCTGAAGGCTTTGCTGAAGGCTCCCTCCACATTATGCCCAATCATTCGGATACACACACGAGAGTTTTCAGTCCTTTTATTTCTCCAGTTCACATAAGCACGTAGAAATGTAGCTTTGTTTTTCTCTTCAATTGCTACCAAATAATCTCCTGAGAAGGAATGAAGATTATACTGAGAATTTGTAATTAGAAATACAACCACCTCCCTTGCTGACATGAGTACTATTAATGAATTCTAACACCAACGGTTGAATTAAAGACTGAGTAGAATAAGCCCTAAGTAACAAAATCTTAGGTGTATTTTTAACTGCCATTAGGCTTTGAGGTTCTGAAATGCAATCTCTCCCCATTTTAGTGTCTTAAGACAACCTATTAATAGTCCACGTAACATACAGAAAGTTAATATAAGGAATAAAATGTAAAATTAAGTGTTTACTGTAGCTCTAAGTCTGCAGTTCCAACAAAGCTCTACTTACACAGAATTCACTACTAGTGTGACATATGACACCAAAATTAAGTATACATTAAGGAATTCTCAGATTAGCAGAACTTACACTTCAAACCCTCTCCTTCCCACAAGTCCTAAGTCTGAGAAACATGATAAAGCTGGAAATAGCAAAGAAAATACAAATCCAAGTTAATTTTCTCTAAATTGTCGATTGTATAAGTTTTAACTTATAAACATATATTGCTTGTGGGAAGTCAAAATGGTAAAGTGGTAAAGAGATGCAAAATGAAAAGCATAATGATCTCCCCCTTGGGGACCCAACGTTAACACACAGCCTGGTATGTGTCTTTCAACACTCTTCTCTCATATAAACAGACATCACAGAGCGGTATTTTGTCTTTTTTAAAAACAAAAACAACAATGTAATCGCATTAAATATGTTTAACAATCTGCAACTTCTAAAAATTATTAATAAATCTCTCCCTCCAGGCTGACACATGGATATCTAACATCCTTTTCAATATGTTCAACATCCCATATATACATATGCATAATTTATTCAATAACTCTGTTACTCATAAGCATTTAAATGTATTTCCAGGTTGTTTTTTTTTGCCACTATGCTTCATAGTAATACATAGGCTTATAGCTATATATTTCCTGGGGGATTTATTGTAATGGTACAGATTCCCAAAAGTGAGATATGCTGGGCCAAAGGACATAAGCATTTTAAATTTCAATATTGCCCAATTACTATCAATTAGATAATAGAAATTCATGTCGCCAGCAGCACTGCTTAAACTAACCTATTTCCCCACATCCTCACCAGCACTGACTCTACACAATGGGAGAAACATGGACTCTCATGGCTATTATAACTTACATTTTCTAGACCTTTTTATAAAGCTGGCCATCTTTTCCTGTATAGTTTCTCTTCTGCATCAGCCATGTATAGTTTCTCTTCTGCATAACGTCCAATTTGTATTAAGTTGTTCATTTGTTTTTCTTATAATGACACTGTAGCTCTCTACTTAGAAGGGATATAAACCTTCTGTTGTCTATAAATAGTAAATGGTTTTAGATAGTCTATTGTCTGATTTTGACTTTGCTGATGGCATCTTTTACCATACCCTTTTTATTTAGTACTATGTGTATCTTTTCCTCCTTGCCTTCTGAGTTCCCATCCATGTCCTCCAAATTACATAAATATGCTCCTATATTTTCTTCTATTTTTAGTGGAGGTTTAGAAAATATACATTTTTAATCTTTAGAATTTTGTGGGTAAAGAAGGGGATAAGCCAGCGAATCCAATTTCACTTCTTCCAAATGTAGACTCTATATAATTAACACTATTAAGCAAACTGGCCCTTTTCCAATGAACTGAAATTGAAATGCTGCCATTACATTGATTTCCCATGTACTTATGAGGCAAGCAAGCAGGTGCTGCCCCTTTCTGCAGACATTCATTGGGTTGACCAGGCTCCCTCCTCCAAAATGATCCTGGCTTCTAGAGGCAGCAAGCTTTCTCCTGCTGATGGTTCTTTTTATGCCACAGAGATGCAGCCTGAACCTGTTCTTTCTCTGGAGATCACAGAATGCCTAAAGGGATCCTGTAGCTGCCCTAAGTTTGTTCACTTTTCCAGGGAAGCAGTTTGGACAGAGTTGGGATGAAGTTGAGGCCTCCATCTTTCTAAAATTCCCCCAGTAAATAAATGAAACTTTTTTTTATTGTAGTACAATACACACAACATAAAATGTACATTTTCACCATTTTTAAGTCTACAGATCAGTGGCACTGGTATCTTCTCATTGTTGTGCAACCATCACTACCATCCATCTCTATAACTAAAAAACTCTGCACCGGTTAAACAATAATTCCCTATTCCTCTCTCTCTCCCTAGGGCAAGACCACCATTATACTATCTCTATGAATTTGACTACTCTAGGTACCTCATGTAAGTTGAACCATATAGTATTTTTCCTTTTGTATCAGGCTTGTATCACTTAGCATAACTTCTCCAAGATTTATCCAGGTTGTGACATGCATCAGAATTTCATTGCTTTTAAGGCCAAATAATACTCTATTGTATGTTCATACGATATATTTTATTTACTCATTTACCTGTCAATGGATCCTTGGACTGTTTCCACCTTTTGGCTCTTGTGAATAATTTTGCTACAAACACTGGTATGCATGTATTCATTCAAGTCCCTGCTTTCAATTCTTTTGGATATATACCCAGAAGTGGAATTGCTGGATCATATGGTAATTCTATGTTTAATGTTTTGAGAAACTGCTGTACTGTTTTCCACATAGGCTGTGTTATTTTACATTCCTACCAGCAATGTATAAGGGTTCCAATTTCTCCACATTCTCCCCAACACATGCTAATTTCTGTTTGCTTTTTTTTAAATAACAGGCATCCCAATGGTGTGAGGTGCTATCTCACCGTGGTTTGGATGCTGAGCATCTTTTCATGTTTTTTGCTGTTTATGTATTCTCTTCTTTGGAGAAATGTCTATTCAAGTCCTTAGCCCATTTGTTAATCAAGTTTTTTTGGTTGTTGTTGAGTTGTAAGAGTTCTTTATTATATATATTCTAGATATTAATCCCTTATGAGACATATTATTTGGAAATATTTTCTCCCATTCCATGTTGTCTTTTCAATCTGTTGATAGGTTTTTTGATATACAACAGTCATTAATTTTGATAAAGTCCAGTTTACCTATTTTTCTTCTGTTGCCTATACTTTTGGTATCATATTCAAGTTAGTAAATAAATTTTAAAACTAAGAATATTTAATTACAATACAACCTTTTTATTCATATACCTATAAATACATGCCCATTTCTTCTATAAAATTCATATATTAACTAGTGTTTATAGTCTGCAAATTGTAGATACTGTCCATGTTGTGTTGTGTGTTTTCAGAGTAATGACCTGGTCTTTAAATGATGATCCAGCACTTGCTAAATGTGCCTACCTGACAATCCTCATGATCAGAGCTTTAGAGTTCCTTCAATTAATTCTCACAACAGCCCTTCAAGATATAAATCTCCCTCCTCGTTTTACACATCAGGAATCTGAGGCACAGACAAGCAAAGTAACTTGCCCAAGGCAACATAACGAACAAATTAGGAAACTGGGACTCAAACCTAGATCTGGTTAGCTCAAAAGTTTATGTTCTTTTCCCGATAATGCTGTTTCCCCAACTGACAGAAGGGAAATACAAGTCTATAGGAGTCTGTTGAGGCTATAACCCTTTACAAGAGAAGGGAACTAATTTTTTTTAAGTATTATGTGTGTGGTGCCTCATTTTACCTTTTTTAAATTTAAGTGTCTTGCTCTGTTGCCCAAGTTATCTTGGTTCACTGCAACCTCCGTCTCCAGAACTCAAGTGATCCTTCCACCTCAGCCTCCCAAGTAGCTGGAACTACAGGTGTGAGCCATCATACTTGGCTAATTTGTGTGTGTGTGTGTATATATATACACACACATATACACACACACACACGTCTTCAAATGACATGTGTACACACACATTATATATATATAATGTATATATACATTTACGTGTGTGTGTATATATATACACACACAAACACACACACATATGTAGAAACAGGGTTTCACTATGTAGCCCAGACTCAGCTTCTGTCTTTATTAAGTACATTGAAAAATCATTCTCATTTTTGCTCTTGAGCTTAGAGTTACTGATTTTTAAAAATAAGCTTTCCCTTTTATGTAGCAAGATCACAAACATGGCTAACAGTAACACCAGATTAAAGGTTGTACTCCTACGACAAAATTGTATCATAAGGCAGAAATAACTTATAAGGCATCTAAATATGTTTTCAGACTTCAGGAAAACTGAGAGAAAGTAGGACTTGTAGGAGGGGTAGATGGGCTGGGGCTGGTTTAGTACACTTATACTAATGGCCAGGCAATGACAGCCTTGTGGTCTGTGTCCTCCATGCCCCACCACCCCTAGACACCCCATAAACAAGTGTCTACCACCAAAGATCCCCACACAGCACTTGACCCTGGCCACCAGGTCTTCTTTCAGGAGTGGGGAGTTCTCAGGTCTCCCCTCTTCTTTGCTTTACACACTGTATTAGTCTATTTTCACACTATTGCTATAAGCAAATACCTGAGACTGGGTAATAAAGAAAAAAGGTTTAATTGACTCACAGTTCCGCATGGATGGGGGCACCTCAGGAAACTTATAATCATGGTGGAAGGCACCTCTTCACAGGGTGGCAAGACAGAAAATAAGTGTGAGTAGGGGAAATGCCAGACACTTAAAAACCATCAGATCTCATGAGAACTCACTATCATGAGAACAGCATGGGGGAAACTGCCCCCATGATCCCATTACCTCCACCTGGTCCCGCCCTTGACACGTGGGGGTTATGGGGATTACAATTCAAGATGAGATTGTAGGTGGGGACACAGCCAAACTGTACCACACACAGAGCCTAAATGTATTTTCCCTTACTGATGATGATGTCAGGGGCCCCCATCCTTCAAAATTTCTATCTACTTTATCCCTAATACCCCCAAATTTTATTTTAAAAACAACTTTTAGCTAATTTGAGATTTTTTTAAACCTGAAAATGTTTTCTGCTTGAGTAGAGACCTGAAAAGCATTTTTAGTAAATATAGATGACTGATGTAAGATTCTTTCCATTTTTGATGAGG